AATGGAAAATGTCCAAGCTTGTTTGGAACATTCACAAAGTCTCCATCTTCACAGAGCATCTTCAAGATTTCAATCCTTTTGAACTTAACAGCCAGATTAACATCAGAATCCCCTTCAGCAATCAAGTTGCTCCTTTGAGATCCTGCACACATTAAATGTCTTATGATTTTCCTTGTGTCATACATGATGGCAATGGTCACCAGTGAAGCACTTTCCTCATGGAAATATTCCCTGTCTAATTCAAGGATTGTCTCCAAGAGAAACAGGAAGACAGATTCTGCTTTTGCCCGTATTGCTGTTTTCAACCATTCTAGCAATTTGTTCTCACTCGGAGTGTAGTTCATTACAACACTCTTAGCAACACCAACACTGTCATTCTCAGCAGCGGATAACATCATATGATCTTTCTCTGGTAAAGAATTTGCCTTCATGAAAGAAGCCCTTAAAACAGTCCTCTTCGTCCTCCCTCAAAGTGTCTGTCACTTCCATTCTTGCTGTCATCAATACATATTTCTTGGAAATAATGAACTTGATATCTATTTTTACCTGACAAAGTGGAAGTGCTTCAAAAGCCTATTGATAGGATCCCACACTGTGATAAAAGTGGATGTCTATTCACTCTTGCACAACGTGACCAAGGGAAATAATTCTAGATTTTTTATACTTGTAAACACTCTGCCAATATAGGGGCCGTGTTTGGGTGAAAATGACAAGATGATTAAATCATATGACATATAAAATGCATTCGAGAATCAAGTTAAGGGATCAAAATGTACATAAATCATCCGAGAATCAAGACAGCACTATTCAGGGATCAAAATTTATATAACGCATCAGAGAATCAAGCTGACATGCCGTGATATAACTGCAATACTGCTAGAAGCGCTGTCAAATCCAACTCACTCATTATTCTACACTTAAGCCATACATATTAAGGGATCAAAATTTACCGGGCATGTGTCTTCAAGTATGCAAATTGCCCCTCATATTCATAAAGATATTCAGTTCTGTCCTTTGCAACTGAAATGTGCCAACAAAAATACTTTTGATCAATCAAAACAATTGGGTATTTGGAAAGTTGTTTTTTTCTTGTATTCTTGCAATCAATATTGTGATGTCTCCCGATGTTCACTATAGCATGTAGAATCAACATGGAATTAAAAGTGATTAACGATAACTGTTTCCAGTAGATCCAGTTATGAAATTATCGAGCCTCACAAGAGGGTACATCTGCAAACATGGTGTCTCACTGTGAGCTATTAAGCATTGCTTGTCTGTTGTTCTACACAGCGTTCAACAATTTTCTAGTCATATCACTGCAGCCACACAAACCGGTGGTTAACATAATGAGCAAATTTAAGAAATGTGAGAGTACAGACAACTGCCAGTTTTTTAGTGTTCGCCAACAGAGATACTATGTCGCAGTTTACTCCAATGTGACCTATTATTGTTTTATACCATTACTCCCAAGTGCCAGGGAGTGTAACAACAAGCTGCATCTTTTCATGTCTTTCGATAAGAAGCGACCAGGGATTGAACCCCCAACTTTCCGCTCTCAGAGGACAGTCGCTGTTTCAATCAAAGCACAACCTCAAACGACCCGTGAAGAATATGTTTTCAGCAACCCATGCTTGCCGAAAGGAGCGACTATGCGACTAACGGGATCGGGTGGTCAGGCCGGCTAACTTGGTTGATGCATGTCATAGTATCCCAATTGCATGAATCGATGCTCATGATGTCAATCACTGAACTGTCTGGTCCGGACTTGATTATTTACAGACTGTCGTCATATAGCTGGAATATTGCGGCGTTAAACAACAATCAAACAAACAAACTTTAGAACAAACTAAAAAATTTCAACTTTATTCACAACAAATTTAATGAAGATGATAAATAAACAAACAAACTGAGAACGAAAACTTGAAAACAAATTCAGATCTAAACCCTTCATTCAGCAAATGATATGGTCATGAAGTTGAGATACCTGATTACCATGGTTACAAACCAGAATACAGTGACAAAATACTTCATGCCTTACATTTTATCACAGTTACAGGCCATGCTCACCTTGCTACATGTTTTGTGTGTAGCATTGTCACAAATAATATGGTTCATAAATATATCAATATGCCTAACGTAAATAAATTAGGCATTTAGCTTATTGCCAATACTGGTACAAGGTGTATAACGTCCGTATTGTCAATTCTGGTTGTTGTGTCTAGATTCATTATTTACAGATCCTCACTCTATATCACAGATTTTAGTCCACTAAATCTCGGTTTCATCTTGTTCCTGCAGCATCAACTTCCTGCGACTTCAGCCATAAGTTCGAAGCCTGAGTCTGGTAAAATCCTACCTGGTCTTGTTTGCTCAGATCATAACAGTTCACATCACAGACCTAACTAAGATAATATTGATGCTGAGAGCAATGCATTCTCAAAAGTTATGACACATAAACTCTTCTTCTAGACAGGTCAAACTTCCTAGTACACTAGAGGTGAAACGATACAGTGGTGCACCGTGAGATTTTTTGGGCTGATATGATACACGATACATTTACTCTGTATCAAAACAAGATGATATACTTGCTAAAATATATGACTATTTCTTTAGTGACCCCCAGCGTTTATTGTCAGTCAAAAATTGCAAAATGTGTGGTAATTAAGTTCACAAATAAAAAATATTTATAGTCGACGTTTTCACACGATTTGACATAAACATGCATATCACAATATGTATCGTAGCGTAATCTTTGTATCATGATCTTGCTGTATTGTTTCACCCCTAGTGTACACACACATGGAACAAACATCAGGAGTGTTCTAATAGTAATACTAATACATTTCATTTTGTGTAATCTAGCAAATCTTTCAAAGACAAATAGTCCTGTACTTTGACAGGTAACAAAGAAAAGTTTTTTTCAGTCTCCAACAAATGACAGGCTTTACATCTGGCCAGTATCACCTTCCGACAATGTGACACCAACATGCGAGGCTGACAGAAGCAGCGGTCGATTATCTCGTCTGAAATCATGTGCCGAAGATGACGAAAACGATGCACAATTTCAGAGATGGGTAATCCTGTTTCCCTGCCAAGAGAGAATGACATCTCCATCATCATCTCGACAATGCTTTTAGACGCCTTTTCTGTACAGGACTCCAATGTTATCTTAACTTTTGCCTGATAAGATTCATGCACAAAGCAGAAATCTGGATTGGCCCCTGCCTGTAAGAGCAGATGTATTACTGAAAAAGCTTCCGCTGACGGAGTTGGTTCTCTAGCCATGGCAGTCACAGCACTGTTCAAAACCGTAACACCCTTTGAAGTTCTTGCATTGACATCAGCACCATATCTTATCAACAACTTTATGATCTTGCATAACTTGTCTGCAACACCATTTGAAAAGCATCTTTGAGACACAGCAATGTACATTGGTGTTAGCAATGTGGAGTACCGATCTTCAGACATGAATCGAATGTTTAAGAACGTGATCAAATTGAATCCGTAAGTACTATTTATTGTCTGTGAGTTTGGATCTGCGCCGTTGAGCAAAAGCCATTCAACTGCATCCACATTAAGCTGTCCACAGGCAACATCCAGAGCCGTGAAAGAACCATCAGTCTGTTTACATAAAATATCAACATTTGGTTGATGTTTCTTCAAGTGTTCAAGTAGAAGGACACAGATTTTTGTGTTAATAAAACACAGGTAATGGTAAGGATCAGATTGTTTTATCTTGTAATCATCTCGTAGTAATCTTTTGTAAATATCTTCATCGTCTATCTTCTTCAGAATCATTTCATCCAGTATTGAGTGAGAATACTTTGCAAAGTTGAAGCTTTTTTCATCAAGAATGGCAAATAACATTTCACGGCATGTTCCATAAATATCTTTATCTGTTTCACTGTATGCTCTTGATTTTTCATACACCATTCTGCGAACAATTAAGAGAGCAACTGAGTCACCTGGTGCTGAAACTCTGTGAGGTTTTAGATAGTCCTCACTTATCATCTTCACCCTTCCCATTTTCGTGTTGACATTTGCTCCAGCTTTAATTAATAACTTCACAACATCTGCACGGTTTAACTCTGCTGCCAAAAACAAGGGAAAATGACCAAGTTTGTTCTTGGAATTGATGTCTTGTTTAAGCTCTGCCAAAGTCTTCAAAACTGACATCTTGTTGTGTCGAATTGCCATCAGGATGTGGGTATCTCCATACGAATTCAAATTAGATCTTTGAGCACCTGCTCTGATTAAATGTTTAACAGCATTCTCAGAGTCACACAAAACAGCTGTAGCCATCAAAGACCCACTTTCTTGCTTGAAATATTTCTTATTTGTCTTGCACATAGAGATTCGCTGTAGCTGACATTGAAACTTTGCCTCATCCTTCATCTCGATTGCAGTCATCATGTCCTCTATCAGCTCATGTCCGTCTAGATTCCGACTGCCATCGTCAGCTTCAAGGATCATCGTTTCATCACAAAACAATTCTCCTTCACATCGTTCATTAGTATTGTCTGTTATTACAGTTTTATCACACACTGACAACATACTGCCAACCCCTTTAACACTCTCCATAGACTTACACCTTGCATGCATTTTGGAGGCCGAATGATACAACTGTTCATACCAGTGTTGTGGGATAAATGACAAATAGAATAATATAGACTAGCCTAGTAACCATACTGTCACAGGCTTGCGCAAGAAAATAGTGAATAGATATTGCACAATTCGACGTAAAGTGTTTGGCAAGTTAATGTAAGATAGATAACTCTTATTTACATCGCACCGTGGGGCCAACTTCCGGTCCGGTTCCTTCGGGATATATATACTCTCAAGAACCCAAAGAAATGTCAAAGCAATCATTCACTACACTACTGACTTTGCTCAACATCAACAATGAGATATTACTGGTCTGCTTGACATATTTGATCGAGGCTACTCATGAGTACAACATTGAAGCAAACATAAAATCGCCCTAAAAATCGAAAGCCTACCTTATCATGCCCGTCATAGAGACAAACTCCTGTTTGTTGCTCTACTAGCGTCTCTCCGCCAATTAGCGATCCGTCGCTCCATTCCAAGCGATCCATCTTCTTGTCAAATGTATCTTTCAATAGCAGGGTATTCAAGATGTTTTCTAGTACTTTGTTATTTTTCAGGAAATCTAGAGGGCGCTTTACATCTACATCCCGCAGTAAATGGTTGTATTTGTAAGCCTGGCTCCGTCTTTTCATGTCGTACGTTTAAGACGCGCACTGGGAGCCGGGGACCAGCTTAACTTGATTTGCAGCGTCGATGCTCTTTTTGCTCTTTATTCATGTTATTAGACCGAACCTAGTCAAAATAGTCCCCGACACATACAAATGAGTTAAATGCGAGTGTCAAAGCTGTTTATATATTTAAGTTATTGTTTAAAACCGTTTGCGTCTGTACGTGATAACGGTTATAAACTTTAATACTAAAATTAAATCATTTTGTGCGGTTCTTCCATCAGCCATTGACAGAAGGACGGACTATTGGAGGTCACGCACGTACTGAAACCAAAATGCTGTCAAGAATATTGCCAGTGGCCAGATCTGCCACATCCTCTGTTGCCCGTATGTTTATATATTAAGCGTCCTTTCATGGGAATTCCGATGTGTTTTGATAAGGTTTGGTACTGTGAACGTTGTCGACTTTTTCTCTCCTTCAATGATAAAGCTCACTGAGCTGGGCCTGCATGGCCGGTGTTTTGGAAATAAGTAGATCTAGACCAACCGAGACCACCATTAGGCATGTTAGGAGGAAGAGAAAAGTCGACTGAAAACTATTGTATCACAAATTTATCTGTCCCGACCATCGAACCATTTCAGAACGGAATTTGATAGTTCCATATAGATCTACCCTCGTCAGGGTTAGAAATTGGCACTAGTCCTACAGTCCTTGCTAAACTGCCCAATAGTTAAGGTATCATAAGGACTAGTAGAAATTTGCCATTTTTAAGGGATTTGCTCTCTGTTATCATTATAAGGACTAGTGGACTAAAACTGTTAGTTTCTACCCCTGCCCGTGTTAGGTACCCCTTTACAATCACGCTGCCACTCAGTTTCACGATCCTTATGGCTGGGCATTCCAGTTCATTTCTAGAACAACATTTGAAATGTTTGACATGGCTCAAATTGGGAACTACTATAAGTATGTATTATAGTATCAAGGGGACCCAGGTTCAGAAGAGGTCTTCAGTAACCATGTAGCCGTAACAGGCGACTAACAGGATTGGGTGGTCAGCCTTTGCTGGCTTGGTTGATGTACGTCATTGTATCCAATTTGCAGCGGTAGAAACTAACAGGTTTGAACCACTAGTCCTTATAATGATAACATATAGCAAAACCCTTAAAAAGGGACAAAAATTCTACTAGTCCTTAACTATTGGGCAGTTTGGCAAGGACTACAGGACTAGTGCCAATTTCTTACGCTGCATTTACGTAGATTGATGCTCTTGATGTCAACCACTGGATTCTCTGGTTATGCACACACAGCCCTTATGCACAGTGAATGCTGCGCTATACAAATGCATTTATTATTATTATTTGCAGCCTGCCGTCATATAGCAAGAATATTGCTGTGAACGTTGTTAAACAGCAAATACAAATAGTACCAAGGGAGAGCACATCCAATTACACAAAGCAGTTGTACTACTAGTAGAACTGATTGTAGCCCTAAGTATAAAATATAACTGATATTGTCTCTGTAATCAAGTGGATATAGAGTGTCTGCCCAGAGTGGAAGTTTGGGAGTTCAATCTCTGGTCAAGTCATACTTGATGTTATCCTGCATGGTGCTTTGCAAAAAATGGTGCTTGTTGTTACACTGGAATACAACAATAATACAAGAACTGGTCACCTCGCAGTCAGTCTTCTGTTTGAGTAGGGTATCAATGTTAACGGTTAAATGCGACAGGTTATGTCAGTGGGCTAGTTCTTTAAAACTGGCATTAGCCTGGACTAGTACATACAAGTACTCACACACACACACACACACATGCATGTACATCACAGTTTATGTGCAATAATATATTGAACGTGATGTTAAAACCAATTTCACCTCACCTCTCCTCCAAATAAGCATTATCCCTGTAATAGGCCACCATCAGGTATCTAGTGTATTTTATCTCTCCCTATTCTGTTGGACCCGTGAAGATTCGGGGTAGAATAGATCTTCAGCAACCCATGCTTGCCGTAAAAGGCGACTATGCTTGTCGTAAAAGGCGACTAATGGGATCGAGTGGTCAGGCTCGCTGACTTGGTTGATGGATGTCATCGATCCCAATTGTGTGGATCAATGCTCATGATATTAATCACTAGATTGTCTGGTCCAGACTCGATTATTTACAGACTGTCGTCATATAGCTGGAATATTGCGGAATGCTGCGTTAAACAACAAACCAACCAACCAACCCATTTCTGTTGTGAGAAATACCCTTGACAACGCTGGATGAAGCTAAATTATAATTCCTGCAGTTGATTTGTTCAACTTATTTTGAAGTCTTCCACAGTTAAGAAGGTTCTTGCTTACCGGTAACTTTGTTCGGGAGCTAATTGTTGCCATGAATCCACATTGTATAATCTTTTCCTATTTTCTGTTCAGGATTGCAGGCAGTTCGCTGTATGGGGGGTCAAGCTCCTGCACACTGGAAGAGTGACCTTGAAGTTGTCACAGAGAACCGTGTTACAATGAATGACCACCCCATTCCTGAAGGCTCCTGGCAAGAGAACTACAACAAGAGAAACAGCAAATACAACATGTATATTGCTGTTTCCTCTCTCTTCTTGGCTGTCACAGGTTTCATAGTAAGTATGAGTGTAACAATCTATCAAAATATTGATGAAATACAATAGTTTGCCCAATGATTGTACTGTGTCAATAGGAATTTGAAAACACCAGTAATATGTTCATAATATGCAAAAAATCAATAGTTTTGATAGTAGCAATTAGTTATAATATGTGAACCAAAAGTATGCCTCTCAATTTTTACGGTTAGATTTCATACATGCTGTGTGTTGATTATCAAGGATTACAACTCCAGATTAGAATTACTTCCTTTTGGTTTGAGCAAGGACCTATACAAGTCCGTGGTTTGAGTAGCCTCATGTAGAAAAATGGCAAACTGTAACTTTGTTTGCAATACTTTACTCATTTCTATTAGCTTGATTAATATATTTATCAAGCCTTAAAGTTGGTTTAATACCATCACAGTACTATTGCAGTAGTTGACAACTATCGCAATACTGTTGCAAAAGTGTACATCTACCAGAGGCAAGGGAATTAAATGACCATAGAAGTCCAGTTTTCACCCTTGCTGAACTAGGCTGGAATTCCGGAGTCATAACAATCCATGCATAGTCCAATCAATATCACTTAACATACTAGACATTCGGTTCATAAGCTACATGGATTTCAATGTGCAGTTTTCGGTCAACTGAAGGATTTGCAAAGCATGTTTACTGTCAACTGGACGTCGACAGATACTTTCCAAATCGTTTCATGTGCTCAAGTGATTTGATGCACATTGTGAGGCAAGACATGTTTCATATTATATATAGATCTTGACTAATGATCAGATTGTCTTGGCTGGGTGCCACCAATATTTTCTTAAGCTAGGGCAAGAGTTTAGAGTGATGGAATCGGATCAGTCAGTTGGAGAGACATAGAAGGGTCATAACTTGTAAAAGCCACTGGCAGCGCTACGATTGAGCCACAAAATTCCAGCCTGGTTTAGGGTGGAAAATGAGCTTTTATGGTCAGTTACACCCTTGCCTGGGGAAAATGTGTACAGTACTGATGCAATACAATCACCATAGTGAAAATACCCAAAATAGCCTCCTGAAATACTGTTCAAAGCGGTGTTAAATCCAACTCACCCTGCCATGTTCTCATGCAAGGCATGCTTGAAGAAAGGCCGAGTGATCTGTATGTGTATGTATCATTCTGTATCATTCTGTATCATTCTGTTTCATTCTGTTTATTTTCAGCTGTACCAGTCTGGAGCAGTGTACCTCCATTCCACTCCTCCACTCAAGAAAAGATAACTCTGTCAATGTTAGGGCAATATTTTGACATCAGGCACACATCAGGGATGCCATTAGCCTTGCAGAGGAGCGTGATAAATCTTATGACTGAATGGTCACCACATATCGCCTTTGAGGACATGTCATCAGGAAGCTTTTGAATATCATACGCTCCATGTTGTTAGCTTGAATTGTCAGATAAAATGTAATTTAAGAATGTGTGACTGAGTCATTTTGTTTTGTTGTTGAAATACTTAAGCTACCCCTAGTATGACTGGAGCTTCAGAGAATAAACTTTGGACTTGAATTTGTGTTATTTTGTTCTGTTACATACTCTAGAAAAGACAAGTTCAATCAACAAGCCTGAACCTGCTGAACCTGGCTAAAAGAATCATTTACTGTAGATTTTAGTGTTATATTTAGACAATTACTAGCTCAACTTACAAGACCGAACAAACTTTAACCAGATTCTTTTTTTAGAATAGTGGCTGAAGTTGCAGATGCAAGTTTATTGCTATTGCTCATTTCTTCTGATAGCTTCAGCTAAGCTTATTGACAAAGAGTTACCGTATATCTTTTCCCAAGTGCGCACTGCTTGCTTGCCTCCCTGGTCGGAGTGATGCACACTGAGATACCAATGCCCCACTCAGACACAGTATACTGACTCCGAGCCGACCAGTCCTTGTTTTAGCCCCTTAATGCCGAGTGTCAGGCAGGGTAACAACAAGTACAATCTTTTAACATCTTTTGGGATGACACGACCGGGGATCAAACCCCCGACCTTCGGCTCTCCGGGCAGACATTCTACCTCTGGACCAAGAAGGCAGTCAGCAGATGAAAAGGATGTATTAAAATGCCAAGAGCCTGCTTGACAAATCATTTAAACTAGTCTTGAAAATTGGAAGGAAATGCTTGTTTTAACAAACACAACCACTGGATGAAAACTTTATGACGACATGCTGATGGATGAAGTCTTGCAAACGTAAATGAATGAATCAAGAGTTTTGACCATATGTTGACAAGCAGCAAGTTCATCCAAAATTGTCACAGGATCAGAGAGGAAATTATAGATACAATCTGTGATTTCAGATAAAACATGTTCAGAGACCGACCTTGTTGTCACTTAGCTTTTGGACAGTGAAAAGACTATTATTTACCAAATTCCATGTCAATTTTATGAGTAAAAACATTCTCTTCTAAATGGGTCGGGAAAATAGTTTTGATATAATTTTTGCACTGCTGCTATTGTTTATCTTGATGAAATAGCTGCCACAAAACATCTTTCTATTTCTGACACAATTTAGCTCCACTTTGTGTATAATGGATTCTGCTGGGAACATGAAGAGACTTCTCCAGTCCCGGATGTTCATCCCATGTCGCTGATCAGCACCTTGCTGGTAATTTAAAAGCTGCAGTAAAAAACGCAACATTAATGGTTTGAAAAATAATTTATTCCAATTTTCTGCATGCATCATGTTGGTTCATGATTCTAGCACTATACAAATCTTTCATGATTCTAGCACGAAACAAATCTTTCATTCAGCCAGTCTAGCATGGAAGGACTGTATGATTCATGTGTACAAATTCATCATATCAATGTGCCATCAAAAGCAAACAATCTCGAGAATGAAGCTAGGTTATCCACGATAATGGCCTTCACAGATAACAGCCATAACAATGTAACAGACTTACCAGTGTCAAACCTATCGAAATCTCCGACATTGTAATGTTGGCCTGATATGGATCAAAGAAAGTTCTCACAACTGCAGCCACTTGTACAACACAGTTATGACCCCTACAAAGATTAACGTCCGGATTTTAGATTCGGATGGAGGGTGCTCAATACGGTACATGTTATTGTAAAATAGTGTGCCCCTTTTATTGATAGCTTTACCTCAGTATCACATTCATTCATTCTGATTACCTTTAAAATATGTAAAGTGTTTCGAAATAAGGATGAAAGACGACTTTCACTCACAACCTTTATGCCAAACATGACATTTTTGAGTGAGTGACTTGGGGTTTAACGCCGCTTTTAATAGTATTCCAGTCATATCACGGCGTGTCAGCTTAATGTGGGAGGAAAGCCCAAAGTGATGCAGGTCTCAGACGTTGACCACTTCCGTGAAACCCACGAGCACGGGTATGGTGCTGACAAACCTAGAAACATAATCGGGGCAAACCAGGATTCGAACCCACAGTCATAGGTTTCTGTTGTGCCTAAGGGACGCAACCCTGCACAGCGAATCGCGGCACCTTAGACTGGGCCACCTGTGCCCCCTTGAAATTTTTTAGTTCATAGATTTAAATACTAATATTGTAACAACAAACCTAAATACTGACAATGGAAGGAACCCTTCCAACTACATGTATATTGATCAAACTCCTCTTCCCTCTTTCCTCATCTTCCCGAGGCAAGAGAGTTAACTGACTATAAAAGTCCAGCTCCCACCCTTGCCGAACTAGGCTGGTATTCCGGAGTTACATTTAGGCTGGACTAACGAGTCTATGCAAAGTCCAATAAAAATTGCGTAACGAACTACATGGATTTCAACATGCAGATTTCAGTCGACTGCAGGATTTGCAAAACCTGTGAACATGTGGGTGTTGACAGATATTTTACAAAACTTTTCCATGTTTTTAGTCAAGGTGCTCAAGTGATTTGATGTTTTGAGGCATAAGAGACCGACCTTGTTGTCCACTTAGCTTTTGGACAGTGAAAAGACTATTATTTACCAAATTCCATGTCAGTTTTATGAGTAAAAACATTCTCCTCTAAATGGGTCGGAAAATACTTATAATATAATATTTGCACTGCTGCTATTGTTTATCTTGATGAAATAGCTGCCACAAAACATCTTTCTATTTCTGACACAATTTAGCTCCACTTTGTGTATAATGGATTCTGCTGGGAACATGAAGAGACTTCTCCAGTCCCGGATGTTCATCCCATGTCGCTGATCAGCACCATGCTGGTAATTTAAAAGCTGCAGTAAAAAAAGCAACATTGATGGTTTGAAAAATAATTTATTCCAATTCTCCACATGCATCATGTTGGTTCATGATTCTAGCACTATACAAATCTTTCATTCAGCCAGTTTCGCATGTAAGGACTGTATGATTCATGTGTACAAATTCATCAGATCAATGTGACATCAAAAGCAAACAATCTCGAGAATGAAGCTAGGTTATCTAAGATAACGCTTCACAGATAACAGCCATAACAATGTAGCAGAATTACCCAAGTCAAACCTATCGAGATCTCCAACATTGTAATGTTGGCCTGATATGGATCAAAGAAAATCTCACAACTGCAGCCACCTGTACAACTCAGTTATGACCCCTACAAACCCCTAATAACGTCCGGATATAAGATTCTGATGGAGGGTGTTTGTTGGAGCAGTGTGCTCAATACGGTACATGTTATTGTAAAATAGTGTGCCCCTTTTATTGATAGCTTTACCTCAGTATCACATTCATTCTGATAACCTCTAAAATATGTAAAGTGTTTCGAAATAAGGATGAAAGACGACTTTCACTCACAACCTTTATGCCAAACATAACATTTTTGAGTGAGTGACTTGGGTTTAACGCCGCTTTTAATAGTATTCCAGTCATATCACGGCGTGTCAGCTTAATGTGGGACTAAAGCCTGAAGTGATGCAGGTCTCAGACGTTTACCACTTCAGTGAAACCAACGAGCACGGGTATGGTGCTGACAAACCTAGAAACAATCGGGGCGAAGCGGGATTCAAACCCACAACCATAGGTTTCTGGTGTGCCTAAGGGACGCAACTCTGCACAGCGAATTGCGGCACCTTAGACTGGGCCACCTGTGCCCCCTTGAAATTTTTGAGTTCTTAGATTCAAATACTAATATTGTAACAACAAACCTAAATACTGACAATGGAAGGAACCCTTCTAACTACATGTATATTGATCAAACTCCTCTTCCCTCTTTCCTCATCTTCCCGAGGCAAGAGCGTTAACTGACTATAAAAGTCCAGCTCCCAGCCTTGCCGAACTAGGCTGGTATTCCGGAGTTACATTTAGGCTGGACTAACGAGTCTATGCAAAGTCCAATAAAAATTGCGTAACAAACTACATGGATTTCAACATGCAGATTTCAGTCGACTGCAGGATTTGCAAAACCTGTGAACATGTGGGTGTCGACAGATATTTTACAAATCTTTTCCATGTTTTTAATCAAGGTGCTCAAGTGATTTGATGTTTTTCGAGGCATAAGATCCGTTTAATTACAATATAGATCTTGGTTGTCAATAAGATCATTTTCACTGGGTGCTGCCATTTTGTTTGAAGCAAATGCAACTGATATGAGTGATGGAATCTGATTGGTCAGTAGGAGCGACATAGAAAGGACATACCTCAGAATAGTCACTGGTGGCACTACGATCACCTAGCCTGAAAATTCCAGTCTAGTTTGGCAAGGGTGGGAACTGGACTTTGTAGTCAGTTAACACCCTTGCCTCGGAAAGATGCTCTTCCCTATGCTAGTTCATAATAAACACTGAAACGCATCAAGTCCATTATCTCAATTATGGTTTAAAGCAATGCAACTGAATCATCCCAGCAGACTCCGTATCAGCATTGTGATTTAATATCAGCACTCCTCCTGTCATCCTATTCAGGACATATCAGTTCACAGGGCCTTGTAACTGAGATGACAGTTCAGTCAAGGTGACAATATTTCTGCAATGTTGAGGAACAGAGGTTTACAAATCAGAATCTGTATCTTAAGCCTGCTGCTATGACATTGAAGTCAGCTGTTCATATGGTATGTACGTGTGGCTGGGACCTAATGAATCCATAGGTTTTTGATCTTGAATTTTGATCAATTGCCCTGACTGAAAATCTCCAACACAGGGTGCGCTTTGTAAGTAATACAGTTGAAACTGTCATTACAGACTTAAAATTAACACATTAGTATGTTTAGCACATGAAAAAATGCAAGGACATTTTGTTGAGTACACTTCTAAATACAGTGAAACATATACGCCGTTGTTTTTAGTTGATGAAGTCTGATCTCTCCTGGGATTTGATCTAACCCAGAATCCCAACGGATGCTACTTTGTCAAATAGGCTGAATGAAGCTGTCAGCCCCTCACTGTGAATTATTGTTTGTTTGTTTGTTTCTTGTTTAATACCACACTCAGCAATATTCCAGCTATATGAGGGCAGTCTGTAAATAATCAAGTCTTGACCAAACAATCCAGGGATTGGCGTCATGAGCATCAATCTGCTCAATTGGGATACAATGACAAGCATCAACCAAATCAGCGAGCCTGACCACCCGATCCCGTTAGTCGCCTTACGACAAGCATAGTACCCTTTACGGCAAGCATGGGTTGCTGAAGACCTATTCTACCCCGGATTTTCACAGCTATACACTAAGCAATATTCCAGCTGTATGATGGTGGGTGCATGCAGGAAACAGTTTCACTGTGAATAACATCACTTTACACTATTGAAATTGAAAATAGATCTGATATTGTGACAAGACATGAACATTGACATGTCGGATAACTTCATCAATGAACAGCCATGCTGAAGGGCTGTATCTTTAACTTTGTCATGATACAGTACAAACCTCGACAGTGAGGCTGCAATTTGAGACATGAAAACTCAACCAATGACCAGTACCGGTAGTACAAGAAAGGAGGTGAAAGGAGATACTGTCCACCATCAAAGAGAATCATGAGAAACAACTGTAAAAGTTGTCCTTATGCATACTGTATCATTTTGTATCGATACACAACCTACTGGTTCAATACTTGTATCATGGCACAGAGCCATGATGCACTTAACATTCAGCATATTGTTACACCCCTATCTGAAATCATAGAAAAGGTCATGCTTACAAACCATTGCTGCTCAAAAGGTATATATTATATATCAAAATATCATATACATTCTTGTACAGACATTCATTGCAAATGTAAAAAGTGCTACAATGTTAGTTGGATTTTGCATTTAGGGGAAATGAAAAATCGACGAGTTTTTATCACTGCTGTTTGTAAGAAATGGTGCAAATTACATATATAATCTTTATTCGAACCAAAAATAATAACTTTCTTTGGTATTGGCATTGCTTCACATTGTACTCCCATGATGGTGGGCCCTACAAGTTAACTCTCTTGTCACACATGCAACGGAGCTCCCAGAAACATCGTGTTCTACTTTTCTGTTTGTTTTTCATTTATGAGAAACAGTACTAATCTGGAAGTTGAAAATATTGTTTTCTTTAATTTTTCGACCACCTCATTGATTTTTGGTTTGTAAACCAAATAATAATAATTAAAAAAGGTCCAAGGATGATATGGGTCTGCTGGGAGGAAGATTTTTACTTTTTTCCTTGATTTTGAAGAAAATCCTGCATAATTGAAAAAGTGACATCATATTTGTTCAAAATGGCAAGAACATCATTTGGGTCAGTACCTAATAATTGGGTCAGTCATAATCTTAACCACAATATTTGTTCACACAAATTGTATCATCAGGTGATGGACCAAATATAGGTGTATTGAAGTGCAAGCATCTTCAACAGTGTCTACCCTAACCACAGTGTCTACCCATGATCAGATGGTGCAGACAGCAGAAGTGACGTCCAACGGAGAAAAGAGGAAAACAGGAGTATTTATTTTGTACATCAGAAAAACCTCATCACTGAAAGCACACTTTCAGATTAATCACACATATGAAGAAAACAATCATTTTCAATCAATCATACAGAATGGAAACTAGTTATCATGAAGATGTTTCATGAATGTTGAACAATTTGGCCACTTCGTAGAGATCTTCATTTTCACCCCCATCACGGAGAACCTGAAACAAACAAGGATAACGGTAACATCACTGCTTTAATAATAACAAAACCGTTCTCAAAAGAGTTTTATCAGATACGATACAGAGACTGTTAACCGAGCGTTTCCCTATACTTAATATCATGTTTAACTTAAAGACTATTGTTTTCTATACAGTAAACTACGCTCATAAAGAACTCAAAGGGACCACTAATTTTAAGTCGTTATAACCGTGGTTCGTTATAAGCATACATACAACGTATATGCAGCAAATGGACAGGACAAGAAATAGTTCGTTATATCCGTCAGAGCGTTGTACGTATGTTCGTTTAAAACATAGTTTACTGTATAGCACGAATATATTTCTAGAGCAATTAATTAATAAAAGAAAATGTAGTTGTAAATAGCATGTGGAACGATCCATACCATCAGGAAATGAAGCCTGGACGCCCACTGTAACCACCCAGTGATAATGTAGAGATAATGCAGTGATAATGCAGTGATAATGTAGTGATAATGCAGTGATAATGTAGTGATAATGTAGTGATAATGCAGTGATAATGCAGTGATAATGTAGTGATAATGCAGTGATAATGTAGTGATAATGCAGTGATAATGTAGTGATAATGCAGTGATAATGCAGTGATAATGCAATCTCATCAAAATCAGATCTTAGTTCTCGCTACCGCTAAACAAAGATCTGAGGACATCCCATTTCGGGTCACGTCAGACCGACCTTGCGCAAACTTTGACCAATCAGAAGGCAGCTTACTTGTGCTTTACGGCACTATTTTCAAATTGGCGACAACACTTCGAAACATATCTTGACAAATTCTTGATTACAAATTTGAAACCTGAACAAAAGAACATTCTGGAATGGCAAATATATGGTAATATATAGATTGTATGGATTCAGTCGTTAAACCCGTAACTATCGTTCGGAATACCCAGTGTTAAATATTTCGAGGATGCATGATTAGAAATCACATTCCCACTGTCACTTTCATGATCTGGCAAGCAACGCTCTGATTGGTCGGATGAAAGGTCGTTCTGACGTGACCTCAACTGGGATGTCCTCAGATCTTTGTTTAGCAGTAGTGAGAACTAAGGTCTGATTTTAATGAGATTGGTGATAATGCAGTGATAATGTAGTGATAATGCAGTGATAATTTAGTAATAAATTATTCAGCTCTCAAACAAGCATGGGATGAGGAAGCATTCTGCCTAAAAAACTGAGGTGAGGTGAAATTGGATTTAATGTCGCATCCAAGATTATTGCACTTATATTGCGACACACATGCACATGTGTGTGTGGCTGCTTCTACTGGTCCAAACTAATGTCTATTTTATAGTGCTAGCAAACTGAGATACTATGCTGTCATTTAACATGAATACCCCACTCAGACACAGCATACTGACACCATGCCGATGTGTCCTTATTTTAGCCCCTTAATGCCAAGCGCCAGACGGTAAAAACAAGTACCATCTTTTAACATCTTTTGGTATGACACAGCCAGGGATTGAACCTCCGACCTTCCTCTCTACCACTCAACCAGAGGCATCTCAGAATTGGAGAAGAAGATAACTCACTTTTCTGGCAATGGGCATCTTGTTGAAGACATTCCACAGCACAATGCCAACAATGATTTTATCCTTCAGATAGAAGACAATGCCCTTGCCAAAGTCCTCGCCCTCTTGTGGGGCCTTTGGTTGTGGAGAAGGAATGAAGGATGGCTTGGCCTTCTGAAAGAAAAGAGTTCATCGTTAATATTCGATGCACTTTAAATCAGTTATGGGTTATACTACTCAAAAGAAGTTACAGAACACCTGATTTTTTCTTATGAGGGACCATGACAATGACAGATTAACTATAGTCATATGAAAAAAATCAAGTGCTCTTTAACTTCTCCTGAGTAGTATAATGCAAATCGTACTTATATACTGTATTGCTTTTACATGAACTACTTCAAATGAAAATGTTTTTTCGTAATAACGACATGAACTTGCACACATGATGAGGATGAGTTTACTGTGGTGTCTAAAAATAGTAACTATCCGTGGCAGTAAGCTCAACCCCTTCACATTATGTTTCAATAGAAATAGTTGGTGTACTTACATAAATATAAATATAAATAAATAAAATATTTACTCTGGCCAAGCTTGTGAAGGCAGGTGCAAATACAGCATTGACTGTATTAGAACATTTTGTAGAATTTTCCTATTCGTAATATTCTATAAGTAATACGTTGCCACTGTTATACCGAGGCTGTTGTCTCCCACAACTGCTGCTATAGCGAAATCTACCACAGAGATCTCAATTACCTCATGCAGCACGTGCGTAGCCACCTAGCTGCCATGTGACACCCTTCACTCTTGTCTCCTGCGAGAGCAAGTGCTCGGGGGACGGACTCAGCAGCCCAGTGGTAACGTATTACTTATAGAATATTCCGAATAGGAAAATTCTACAAATTACATTAAGTAATACGTTACCACTGTTATACCGAGGCTGACTACCACAGTAGGCGGTGGGGAGCACCTACAACCCGAATCCTGACTGCTAGCGTTCCTTCCGACCAGCGGAAGTAAACACCAAGGCGGAAGCACTCGATGCGCATGCACCTAGCTAGGCGTTACCCTATAGGAATACCAAAGCACTGTCAAGCGCATACCGTAAGGCTCAATCGTCAATGCCAAAACGATTGGTGACTCCAAACGGCCCCACTGGATAGGTATTTCATCGCCGCAGCGGATGAGAACACTGTATCCGCGTAAGCTAAATCTTAGATCAGGTTAAACAGTCGAAAAGAGGGAAATTAATTTCCTTCAGACTGTATATCCCAGAGCAAGCCTACTTAAAGTATGCATTAGGCGCGTGACCTAATTCCAGTATTCGTAAGCATGTATCGCAAGGTTGGAATACACGACAGACAATTAAATGCATAATTGTCAAAATACAAATAAGGACAAAACACACAAAAAGCCGCCTCACCTGTGGTGTGAGTGTGCTGGTTTGCAGGACCCCCACTCCTGTACCCACGGCGTGGGAACATTGGAGACGACCCAGATTGACCACCGTGCAAGGACTGACGACTGCGGAGTTTGGAATTGCGCTGGACACACCCCCTAGATGACCGCTTGTGCCGCGATCAGCGGCCCAAGACGGTGCACCCCCTCCACGTCTTCATCAGAAACCTTTCTGAGGTAATGATTGGCAAAAACCGAGTCAGAACGCCAGTAACAACCTCGTAATATTCTGTGAACAGAGATATTCGAGTGTAGGGCAAATGTTGCCGCTAGCGCCCTGATCTCGTGCGGGTTTGACCCCGCTACCGGTAACCCCCGAGACCGGTACGCCAGATTGATGACAGAACGAAGCCACAACGCAATCGAGTTGCGAGTTATGTCAACCGTGCGATTAGGGTTACACGATATGAACAGACGGTCACGCCCTTGTCTACGTTCATTCGAAGCCTTAAGATAATACTTAAAGGGGCACTGATCTAACGCAATTCCCCGGGACTGGTTGTTGCCTTTGTTATTGTTTTTTCCCAGTGAATACCCGGATGTATAGCAGAAATCTAGACTAGTTCGCGACCTCTGCTGCGCCATTCGTAAGCGCATTAGTCACTTTTATGGGTAGTAATAAGGGCGTATGGTCACATTGATCAACAAAATGAAATACAGTTTTCGAGAGAATAAGGAAATGTAGGTATCTTTGTGAGTAGCATCGGTAATGGTGACGAAGTTTTGATAAGTCACTTGCTTGGTAATTTTGCGATTTTCGTTTACACTATTTTGACTTGCAACACAAAGTATATATTTCACCTAAGTATATGCTTTTTTATAGTGTGTATATTTTTTTACTGTCAAATGTGTAACAAATTTATTAAACGTCTAAATATTCAGTTATTTTACAAAGTGACTGAAAAACAATTCCATCTGTATTATTATGACAACGAATTCCAAACATTTTGATGTTTAATGTCATCACCAAGAGACTGAAAATGTTACGTTGAAAAGTACATTTCTAAGTTGTTTGGCTTTTAATCCTACATAATAATCTGTTGTGATGTTTGTAGGCCCTTTTGATCGTCTTGATCAATCTGGACAGATTTTTTAGTCAAAATGACTGAAATATTTACACATTTGATAAATTGCCTGAGAGAATCACATTTTACAAATTGACGGTAATATATACACGCTTATAAAGGAAAAGACCTGTGACAACAACGTCTATCGCGCATTGAAGAATTTCCCAACCAAGACGTAGAGAAACAAGAACGGATCGGTTCAAATGAAGGAAAACAAAATGCAGATATCATAATTACAACCTACCAAATTTATGTGTATAAGTTTTAGGCAGCTTCCTTGTTCGAGGAATGTATCCGTGAATATCCACACAAAGGAACAATATCCCACTCGTCTGCAGCTGTACAAAGAAACTTATTCGATGTCACGTGTCTCAGTAACAATCAAATATTTTAAAAGATATATATCGTTTCGGGATATTATAACCTGTGTTCGTTTCTCAACTGATCGCTTGGATTGTTTCAGGTGTTTTACATAGGTGTCAAGTCTCAATGGTCGGCTGAGAAAGCCCACGTGACAACTATTTTCATAGCGTCCACGGTTCCTAAAAATTCCATTGAGTGATAGATAACAATGATCAATCAATCAACGTATTATCAGTTAACCTTTAGAACAAAGTATGTTGTTTTTACATCGGCACTTCGCGCCATGATATGAGTGTATTCCCTTTGTTTTAGTAAACCTAGACATGTAAACACTCACTCTTGACATATCCACTGTGCAAGATAACAGTGATTAATCAATCAACGTATTTTCTGTTAATCCTTTGATGACTAGGAACGATCCGTTGATTTACAAAAAAAAGTAAATCAAGTGATCACTCATCTCTTGCTGGGCTGCCACGTGCATATTACATAACACACATTTCACCTCACTTCAAACCTGGATTTAGATTGAATAATTACCCCAGACACAATAAATGCCAAATGGGAACCTTTGTCAGGTAATATAAGTGGTGCTACCACTAATTGTACCTGTAATAAATTCATTAACTGAGCATCAAGTGAATGACGACAAATACACAAGTGTAGGGTTATACGAGAAAACGTGGATGACAACAAGGGAGTAGTAATCGTATTATCGACGCAAGCCGAAATCCGAAAATGCTTTCACTGCATGGATACTGTTTTTAGTATTAAACTATAACCATCTGGGGTATTTCCAAATGACGACTTCCGATGAGCTCCCTTGTTCTTTTTGTTTGTTTGTTTAGGCTGAAGAAATGAATTAACATGCGCCCTTTGTCGAAATCTTTATAGATCACAGTTAACCAATCAGTGTTCAAAAATGCGTAAAACAAATATTGCCTCCAGCCTCCAAATTTATTTAGCTGTCCTTGCAGACGGTACCCCAGTCTCTGGTCACGCTCAGTTGCGTTGCGTATCATCCGGGTACTCACGGGGGAAAAACAATAACAAAGGCAACAACCAGTCCGTTAGATCAGTGCCCCTTTAAGGGCCCTAACCGGACACAGCGCTCTGTCCTCAGTATCAGCAGGATGTAAGATTTCTTTGAGGGATCTTACAGTGAATTCTCTCTCCGTTTGCCCGACTCTCTGATTCTTGGCGACGAAGCCCATGAGCAGGCCCAGGCGGACAGCTCCTTCGTCACCCCTATCGAATCGTACCTTGGCGACATCGAGTGCATGAATTTCGGATACACGTGCCGCCGTGGCAAAGGAGAGGAGAAATGCTGTTTTCCAAGTCACATGCCGGAACGAAGCACTGTGCAAGGGTTCATACGGAGCTTCCGTAAGTGATTGCAACACTAGGGAAAGATCCCAGGCCGGTGCCCGAAGGCGGCCCTTCTTAAGATCGTGCTGTTTGAAACCCTTGATAATACCCCGTATCACCGGCTCTTTGGAGAGACTGGTACCCATAGCAACGTCCCGTACCGTAGCAACGGACGAGACATAGTTGGCAATGGAACCCCCGGAGAGTTTCCGGGTCTCTCGCAAGTGAGACATGAAACGAGCAATATCCTGCACAGATACCTTATCTGGCGAATGAATGTGATGTTTACAACACCTCTTCGTGAAAATAACCCAACGTGCATTATACACCTTCTGGGTAGAATCACGATGCATACTAACGTATGCCCGAGACGCCCTGCGAGAAAAACCTTTACTCCTCAGACGCTCGGTGACAACATCCACGCGTGCAGATTGAACTGCCCTGCGTTTGGATGAAGCTGACGGGTGTGAGGGTGGATCAAGAGATCCGGTCTCACAGGCAGTGGGAGTGGCGACTGTGTGACCTGGGTCAGCAAGTCGGGGTACCACGATCTGTTCAGCCACATGGGCGCGATCAGTAACATTCGACAGCGAACTCCTCGAAGCCGGCTTAGAATGTGTGGTATCAACGCTGTCGGCGGATAAGCATAAGCGTCCAAGCCCGTCCAGTCTAACGCGAGAGCATCGTGATCGATGGCCCTCGGGTCCGGGACTGGTGATACAAACAACGGGAGTTGATTGTTGAACCGTGATGCGAACAGGTCGACCATCGGACGACCCAAACGTTCGCACAGCCACTGAAACACTACTGGGTTCAGCATCCACTCTGTGGGGCTCGGATCCTGAGGCCTCGATAGAGCATCGGCCAGTACGTTCCGCACACCTGGGATGTGACGGGCGCGTATCTGGCACGGGACACTGTCCACCAGAGCGTAAAACTCGAACGTGAGATCGAGTAGCGAGTGACTGTGGGATCCCCCCAGTTTGTTCACATAGGACACTACCGTCGTGTTGTCGGTCGCCAGCATGAGCCGGGCGTCGACGAGACGATGCTTCCAGTGATTGACTGCGTTGATCACTGCCTTGAACTCGAGACAATTGATGTGAAGACCTAGTTCGTCTACGCACAAAAGCCCCGAGCTCACCTCCCCCTCTAGATGGGCGCCCCAGCCCACTAGAGAGGCGTCTGTATACAGGTTCAACGTGGCCCGGTAGGGCCGCATAGAGACTCCTGATAAGACATTGTAAGGGAGCGTCCACCACTCCAGATGCGGTCGGAGCCGATCCGGGAGGGCGACGGTCGCACTGTTCACCTCCGTTGCCAACAACTGGATTAAAAACTGTTGCAGCGGGCGGAGTTGGAGACGACCCCGTTCGGTGCAGTCTTGGGCTGATACAAGTAGCCCTAACAGCTGTTCCCAAAAGTGAACAGTCTGTTGCACCGCTAAGACTTTGGCAATCATCGCCTGAATTTTGTGCCACCGGTCTGGGGGGACAAATAGGCGATGGGACACCGTGTTGAACCGACCTCCGATGAACTGCAAGTTCTGAGTAGGGGTTAACTCGCTCTTGGGGAGATTGACAATCCACCCCAATTGCTCCAAGAGCCGACGTGCGAAAACGAGATGGCGTGACAGGGCGTCCGTCATTCGATTTGCTACTAGCGAGTCGTCCAGGTACGGGAAGTACCGGACACCCCTCCGGTGGAGGAACCCCACTATGGGGGTGGTTAACCGGGTGAACAGCCAGGGAGCGGATGAAAGACCGAATGGGAGTACAACCCACTCGTAGTGCCTGCCTTGAAAGACAAACCTGAGATACTTGTGATGATCCGAGTGAATCGGAACATGCAGATAAGCATCCTTCAGGTCGATCGAAGCTAGCCAATCGGCCGGCATGATCAGTGCTTTCAGGTCCGTCAAGCTCAACATTCTGAACTTGGGCGGTTTGCGCAGGTAGAACTCGCTGAACGATTTCAAGTTGTGAATCATTCTGAGTTCGGCTATGTCCTTCTTGGGAACGAGAAATATCCTGGAGTAAAACCCCGGTGTTATTTCTGGTAGAGCTAACTCCCGAACTGCCCCCTTCTCCACCAACCTGCCGATGGCATCGGCGAGGAAGGGAAGATCGGTTTCCGAATAGAAACCTGCCGACGGGGCAACGGTGAGCGGCGGATTTGCTTTGAGATCGAGCCGATAGCCGTACCGAATCGTGTTGACCACCCACGGGTCGTCGAACACTTGTTCCCAATTCTCCCAGTAAGTCTGGAGTCTGGCTCCCACTGGGGAAAGAGAGGGGGGCCGGACGGGCTGCGGCAGGCGCAACTGTCCAGGGCCAAGTGACTCGGGTTCGCCTACGGGCCAACCGAAGTTGGCGCTGTCGGCACACGAACCCCTCCAATGAGAGTCACCTGGAGGGGCCCTTGCCGTCCTTAGACGACTTGGGCTTCCCCCAGTTCCACTTCTTCCCGCGAAAGGGCTGCTGAGAACCCTTACCGGAGCCCTCAGAGTGGGGCTTCTTCCCGGAGGAAGAAGGACCCGACCCCTTAGGCCTGCCGGACGCAGCATCCTGGGGCGCGCTCCGCTTCGGAGCGGCACCCAGGCGCCTATGCAAGGACCCCACAAGATCCAGTGTGTGCCGAGAGGCCTCGGCAGACACAGCGGCCTGTTGTTCCTTCAGAACCCCAGGGATCTTGTTATTAAACAGGGTCCGAGCAGACCAAGGCTGCGAAAGGAGCACCTCCTGATTGGCAGCGTCCAACCCTGAAGCAACCAGATACGACTGGCGCCGAAGAAAATGGCACGTGCCGGAAACAAAGGCCGAAGCCCCGGCAACGTACTCCAGGGAAGCATTCAAACCGAGCAAGCAGTTGTAAATGCGCTGGTCTCAGTCCGTGGGAGAACCTTCGACCAGACTGGCCGCTGCAGCCAGGTATGTGTCTCCGTGAGACATTGCCAGCATGGAGTGTCGAGCGAGGGTGTCCAGCTGTTGCAGGGTACCTTGTGGTACGGTGGCAACCGGTGGGGCACGGACCCCCAAACGCTCCACATGGGCTTCCGCAGAAGGACCAGCCTCGGGAAAGGCAAGGTCATGTACCGGGAAAGACCCTTTTCTCCACGACGGGGGAGGTAACGGGAGACCCCGACCGGAGGCAGCCGTGAAGGCCTTCTCCAAAGAAGGCTTAATTCCGCGCAGCAAGGTTGATGCCGGGAAAGCCTTGTCAGACGCCTCGTCGTATACCTCGGAGGAACCCACGGAACCGTGGATTCCCCGCGGTATCAGCAGGGGCTTTGGCATGTCCTCGAAGAGGTCATACACCATGGCCACGCGGTCCTTAACCGATAGCGGAAGCAACGGTTCGGGGGAAGGACCGGTGACCACGGCAGCCGCCGCCGTACCGGTGGACCCCGCATCCGAACCCGCGGCCACCGAAGAGGCCGGGGACGGAACAGCCAGCGGCCTATCTTGCGATAAGGCCGCCAGCTTGGAGTCCATGAGTTTCGACAATAATGCGGCGACGGAATCCCCAGGCAGCCCGAGGGCCGCAAGGGGATCCGCCGCAGCCGAGGAGGTGGTACCCGCACGGGGACCCCGACCGGACGAACCGGCCACCACAGGGGTGGAGACGGACTGTACGTACAGCCGGTACCGCTCAAACTCCGCAGGCCCCAGACCATCGCAAAGGATGCACCGGGTGTCCCCGCAAGGAACCCTGCACCGCGGGCAACGATCGTGGGGATCCCGGGACGACAAAAACTTTCTGCACACCCCACAACTCCGAGGAGCAGGGGTAGAGGGGGTGGCTGGGGACATATCCATGTCAGACATTGATTGTTTGCTATAAACAAAGAACAAAACATGGTTACAACGCACGCACCACAATGATTCACAAACGAGCATTTTCACAAGAAAATAAACGAGCAATGTGAACATATAACATACACATATAACTTTTATTAAAGAAATAAGTTATGTTAACCCCCAAAACATACAAGAACAGGGGAAACGTAAAACACAACGTGCATACGCGAACCCCGCAAGTATATAGAAAAAAGGGCGGGAAAAATTTTCCATTTGGCGGGAAAATTATAACCAAGCGTAGCTACCGCAACGCCCCATAAAAGCACAGTTTATTAGAGAATAAACTATAATAAATATCACCAAATCTTCAAGGAACGCTTCAGCAGGAGAAAACACGTCTTGCTAAGCAGACGAAGGAGACAAGAGTGAAGGGTGTCACATGGCAGCTAGCTGGCTACGCACGTGCTGCATGAGGTAATTGAGATCTCTGTGGTAGATTTCGCTATAGCAGCAGTTGTGGGAGACAACAGCCTCGGTATAACAGTGGTAACGTATTACTTAATGTAATATTTGAACACACAATGCCATTTAAAAAGTGGTCAAATGTAACAAATGTTATAATTTGGATAACAGTTTTGAATACTTTTTTGGGTAGAGAGTGGGGCACCTAATCACCTAACCCAGTCAGCCACCGAGGCTTCAACAAATGAAAGTCTGACAACTGGTAGCCTAGATCACGTACTTTGTGTACCCCTCTGACAAATGTAAATTGGCATGGGTCCCATGGCCGAAAGCTATGAATACACAATGCCATTTAGAAAGTGGTCAAATGTAATGGAGACATAATCACTCGATTTTCTGGCACAGAATTTGATTATGTACAGGTCACCGTCATATAGCCTGGCATAAACAACAGACACACAAACAAACAAACAAACCTGTTCTGCCTCTGAGCGAAGTCCCTCCCCACTCTCCTCAACAGCAGCTTTAGGTGTGTCTTGTGCAGTTGCTTTGGCAAACACTCCTACTGTCGGCAGACTGGAGTCCACAATCCCAATAGCTTCATACCCAACCTCCGGACCAAGGTCTGACCTGAATTCAAGTGTAGGTTTATATATAATGCTGTTCAATAAACGACCATGTAGTTTCACACTACAGAAAATTTTTGGTGAGGTGAGGTGAAATTGGGTTTAACGTCGCGTCCAAGATTATAGCGCTTATATAGCGACATGCATGCATGTGTGTGTGTGTGGCTGCTTGTACTAGTCCGGACTGATGCCGATTTCTAGTGCTAGCACACTGAGATATCATGCCGCAGTTTACCATGGATACCACGCCGCAGTTTACCATGGATACCACGCTCAGACACAGTATACTGACTGACCAGACCTGTCCGAGCTGACCAGTCCTTGTTTTAGCCCTTTAATGCCGAGCGCCAGACAGGGTAACAACAAGTACCACCTTTTAACGTCTTTTGGTATGATGCGGCCGGGGATTGAACCCCGGAGCTTCCGCTCTCCTTCGCAGACGCTCTACCACTAGACCACGGAGGCGGTCAATAATTTTTGGAGCCTTTAAGTACTTGCTCACATGTTATTATTCACATTGGTATTAATAGTTTTTGGGGCATCTGCCTGAAGCAAAGGACCATAAACGTCCAGTTTCCAATTTTGTCGAATTAGGCCGGAATCATGGAGTTATACTTTGGCTGTACTAACACGTCTATGCATAGTCCAATCAAAATCTAGTAAAAAATTAACATCCGGTTCGCAAACTGATGTGCAGATTTCGGTTGATTTCAGAATTTGCAACGCATGTGTACCATCAACTTAGCATCAACAGATATTTCCCAAATCTTTTCATGTTTTTAACCAAGGTGCTTACGTGATTTGATGCACTTAGCGAAGTAAGAGCCGTTTATTACAATATAGATATTGATTATCAATCAGATCGTCTTCGGTGGGCACCACCATGTAGTTTGAAGCAAATGCAAGCGATATGAGAAATAGAATCTGATTTGTCAATAGGAGAGACATAGAAGGAACATAACTCGTAATAGCCACTCGTGGCGGTATGATCGAGCCCAGAAATAGGAAACTGGACTTTTACAATCAGTAAACTGCCTTGCCTCGGGAAGATGTTTTGGGGTGTATTCAACACATTTTCAATGCTTGTCACATGTGCAAGTAAAGTAAAGGCTATTATCTGAGTGCAGGTAAAAAAACCCATGAAAACACTGGACAACCAACGCTGCTTCACCCATTACCTTCGCTGTTCCATATTGAATTTAGTGCAGTTCAATCGACAAATTGCCTGTCTACATTGAAAAGTTTTTTTTCTAATCTTCAATTCAAGCAATATTTATTTATAAAATACTGGAAAAAGTCTAAGAGACACTGGATAGCACAAATGTCCACCTTAAATATTACTGGCTCTTGACAGCTCTCAGAACAAGCCTGGACTTCAGTTGGAAATTCAAAGGAGGATGAGGGCAGTACAGATAAGCCACATTATCATTCCTTGTATTTTGACATAACAGGGACTATTCACAATGTTTTATAAAAGACAAAAAAACAGACCAAACTATTCAGTTTGAGAAATATTTACACAACATGGGTCTGACATCTTCAAATTACAAATATAATTTGGTGTCAGAGGTGTTAGGCGGCAGCGATGAAAATGTAATGATTCACTTGTCTGAGATATTGGTCTGCTGTATGTAACAGATTTGTCTATTTCTTCTTGGCAATCTGTTGATAAATAGAATGAACGATCTGAGCAATGAAAACAGCATGTCTGAATGCTTAAAGCCTTCTACACAGATGCTCCTGGCAAATGAGACCAGTCCAAACATTGTCCCATGGCCGCCATCAAGGGAGACAACTCATAACAGAAAATCCCTCACAACAGCTCATTGCAAGTAATAACAAGAGTGAGTGAGTATGGTTTTACGCCGCTTTTAGCAATATTCCAGCAATATCATGGCGGGGACACCAGAAATGGGCTGCACACATTGTACCCATGTCGGGAATCGAATGTAGTAACAGGAGTCATCAGATGACATATCCCCCGGTCTGGTGTAATTCGGAAATTGAGTTTGGCTACTTATACCCCATTTTTGGGTCATTGCCTTTGGATACCTAGAAGAAAAAAATAATACTGTTCAGTATTTTTCAAAATCCCAAATCATCAAAAGGTACCAGTACACCACTGGACTGATCTGTGTAGCGAGTTTCATCTAGAAATAAATCTCTGCTCTGGAAACAGAAAACAACTTGTTTTCATCATGAAAGACCATAAAAACAAAACAAAAAAAAAGAATACAAATCCCAAATCATCAAAAAGGCACGAGTTCCTAACTAGAATTATCTATTTAGAAAATTTCAATAAGAAGTATTTAACGTTTTTTAGTCCTGCCCCGGAAAAGGGAAAAAGGATGGACAGACATGCTGATCACTATATCCCCCTGTTTTTCAAACCTTTTCAAACTGTGGGGATCACAACAGAAACAACAATAGCAAATGTTAAATTTCCTACTCAGTGAGTTTGATTTTACACTGCTTTTAGCAATAATCCAACAATATCACAAATACCCCAATGCTTGGCGGTGAGCTAACGGAAACATCAACCAGTATAGCTCTGAATTTCTCACCAGAACCCAGTGGAGATTCCGGGTTAGAGTAGGTCCCCAGCAACCTGTGATGGTCATAAGATGTGACATAATGGACTGGGTATTGCTGAGAACATCATTGCCCATAATATCAATCATCTGGTCAATCATTTACAAGTCAGTGTGATATTGCTAGAATATTGCTAGAATATTGCTGAGTCCTTCGTTAAACAGAAAACCAGCTCTCACCAGAACATGGACTGATGCCAGTAGGGTTTGGCTGCCCCCGTCATGTTCTCCCCTGCCAGTCTCCCGCTGACAACTGCGTGGTCGTGATGCTCGACGCGGCGCCGTCCCAGCCGAATGTCATAGAAACAGGAAGCATCACCAGCCTAAAGAAGACATTTGGGAGACGGTTCACAGATAACACAAACAAAAAGACTGACAGTCACAGCAGCAACACGATTGCGGAGAGAAATATTAACCCTCAGTATCTTCGTGGCCACAAACCCTATGAAGACAATGAACAAAGAATATCTGCTAAGCTGTTTCAAGAGCTTTAAATCCTTACAGCTGATGCTAGAGTTCAGTTGGAAAAATTAGTAAGTTGTGCGCATTCTTAGGCTCCAACCATGTCATTAACAAAAGCTTTAAAACCTTACAGCATATGCTACTGTTAAACTGGGACAATGTGTGTTCATGGTCGAATGGAGAGATGCTAACACATTCACTTTGTTCAAACGTCTCATCATAAAATAGCTAGCTACCTTCTACTTGATTCTGCCTGTGAAGAAAATGACAGACACATAATAATGTCTACTCACCACCCACACATTTGATCTCGCCTCCAGTTCAGCGTTGACGCGGAAGCCGCCATGAGATTCATCCAGCTCCAGGCCGGACGTCTTTGCAAGCTCCACGTTGGGTTCCAGACCCACCGCTACCACTACCTGCTCCGCACTCACCTGCAACAAGTGAGTTGGTTCTCAAACTTTGAACAGTGTTTCAGTTCTATCAAGAAAAAGACCCAAGTGAAACTCACAAGCACGGGTATGGTGTTGACAGACCTAGAAACATAATTGGGTCAAACTGAGATTCAAACCATGAACTGCAGCAGTGGCTTAGACAACTGAGCCACCTGTGTCCCCTTCTGGAATAGAAGGTGAATATTTATTTACACCTCAAGAAGAAATAATCTACGAACACATCAGCAGAGATGGGTACCCTGTAGGATGAGATGGTTATGTCTGTTAACCTTCCTGTGCCTTTGGTTGTATACTCCCCAGGGAGATGAGAATGAAAACTGAATGCACACTGATCTATTAACCAGGGTAATAGCGCTAACAGATGGCTTTCAGATTTGGTGCAATATAAATATGCACATCATTCATTATTATCACACGTCCTGTCCAAATTTTTTATTTGGTCCAATTTATGATCCAAATCCATGAATATCTGTCAAAATTATTCCCTTTTCCCATGTGAGATTTAATCTTGGTTATGTCACGATCAATCTATTTGACAGTGGCCCTGACATCAAATTTCATTAAGTCCTAATTTATTCATGTATTGTAAGTTATTAACCAAACCACAGTCCAATATCCCAAGTGATGTAGATCTTAGATGGTTACCACAGGCATGGGAATGGTTCTGACAGACCAACGACTTTAATCAGACCAATCAAGGAAAAAGAAGTGAGGGAGAATGGTTTTACGCCACTTTTACCAATATTCCAACAATATCGCGTCAGGGGACACCAGAAATTGGCTTTACACATTGTACCCATGTGGGATATCGAACCTCAGCCTTCAGGTGACGAGTGTATGCTATAACCACAAGGCTACCACACAGCCTTCATGGAATAGAACCTAGTACAGGATCCTTGCATGGCGTTACCTTAGACCACTGTGCCAGTCAAGATATAGCACTGAGTGAAGTCAGGCATCTTTACCTCCTGCCTGTTCTGTATATTAAGCTCACCATTAGGAATTAGATCTGCATTCAAAGAAGAACTATGTATCATAACTTAAAGAAAATATTTTGGAATAGAAATTTTTACAAAAAAGGTTAATCTCTTTAAAAAAAGAGAGAGTGAGTGAGTATGGTTTTACGCCGCTTTTAGCAATATTCCAGCAATATCACCAGACACCAGAAATGGGCTTCACACATTGTACCCATGTAGGGAATCGAATCAGGGTCTTCGGTGTGACGAGCGAACGCTTTAACCACTAGGCTACCGGACCACCCCCATAAAAAAGAGACTATTCCTTCTACTCACTTTGCTTCCATTATTCAGACCCAGGACAACCTCGTTGTTGAGAAACTCAGCAGAATTTACAAGACTGTTAGTGATGACATTCACACCCTCTGCAATATAACAAATACATTTCAGCTGGGACAAAACATTACTTAAATCAATGCTTTCCAAATCGCTTAATTTCCAAGTTCAAAAAAAGAATTCACGATGAAGATATAATAAACATGTATAATCAGAGTTCAAACTGTGTACGAGACATGCTTCTATTCTGACTGTTACCCTGTGCTGTTGTATGTAATACGACTATAATGCAAACCCCAGTAGAAATCTTCAAAATCAATGGTAATATACATACGCTGTCTATACTGAGATCAAAAGAGAACAACATCAGCTGAGCATACAGAGTGTAATTGTTACAATATAAAAAACATGTTTGTCATTGTTTATTTTCTTTGATGCTTTGTCGTAATTTACTTAGCTTTTTGTTTAACTACCAGCATATCTATTCAAAATCTTTGTATACAAATACTGCTAATTCCCACAATGATTTTTGTTATGTAGTAATTGCATACCTCAACATAAATCTATTGTGAACACCGCCAACATCTCTCAAGACTCCAGAAAACTCCAACAGTCTGGCATAAATATTGTCAAGTCTTTGATGGGCATGGAGAATTAGGAAGAACAAGAACATATGAAGCTGTTGTGGATAACAACTCCCTATTGTTTGTAATGACATTTCAGGGTTGTTTATTGCCCCTTCATCGGAGACCCCTTCATTAACTTGATAAAGATGCAAGATTTAATCCCGAGACATTACAAACAGCAAAGATTTCTTATCCACAAATACTTCCTGTCTTCATAAAACTCACAGATACCAATCCCTTCTAGAACCTGATCTAGGATTTTGAAAAGAGGGGGTGCACAATATGTCCATGACAAGAAGCAGTCCACAAAGTGACTTGGCCGAGGGTGCAGTTAACATGTAAGATGTCTGAAAAACGCAAGGGTTGTGTACCCTGTGTACCCTGTGTACCCTGTGCACCCTCCACCAGCACCAGACCCCCCCAAATCTTAAGCTGCCTGTGCTTGTTTAAATATGTCCTCGTACCTGCTTGTACCTTCTTGGTGGTCCAGTTGCTGAGGTACTCTGGCAGCACACGGCCCATGTTACCTGCAACAGACAGGATGTCATCTTAGCAGCAGCTTCCACAAGTGAGTGAGGGGACACTGCAGTCAACAAAGGTCTACCAATTTCATGGCAGACTGTTAATTATCAAGTCTGGACCAGGCAAACCAGTGACTGAAAGCATGAGCATCGACCCACATCATCAGTGATGTCACAGACCCTAACCACGTAATCCACTTAAGTGGACTCCTACAACAACCATCACAAGGGATATTCCGGGTTTGACTTGGTCCCCAGCAAACTATGCTCTTCCGATCCATACTTGATAATTTACAGGCTGCCTTCATACAGCTGGTATATTGCCAAGTGCGGTGCTAAACAACAAACACACACACATACAACAAGTACTGAGGACCTATTTCAACCCCGAACAATATTCCAGCAGTCAGCAATATTCCAGCTATATGACGAAAGTCTTAAAATAATTGAGTCTGGACCAGACAATCTATCCACACAATTTGTATACGATGACATGCATCAACTAAGTCAGCCAGCCTGACCACCCGATCCGGACCACCCGATCCCGTTAGTCGCCTCTTACGACAAGCATAGTCGCCTTTTAGGCCAGCATGGGTTGCTGAAGACCTATTCTAAGCTGGATCTTCATGGGTATACACTAAGCAATATTCCAGCTGTATGATGGTGGGTGCATGCAGGAAACAGTTTCACAGCTTCGACCAACAACATCATAATGTCCACAAGGGTTGTAGCCAGTTTTCACCCTCGTCCCCTTTGCTATTGAAACTCTGGCTCTGGCTACTACTTTTCTTCATTAATCAGCTTTCTGAACATCAAATATTCACTGACCTGCTTCAGGAAACACTTGATACACCTTCATTCCATTCTTCTTGCCTGGAAACAAACATTATTTTGTACTGATCACCTCTGTGACTAAGATATGTCTGAAAACATTTACTCAAATTATCATCCATTTTGGGCATTGATAGTTCTTTGGGTATTCAGTATATTTTTATTCCCATGGGTTCAGTCTTTTGGCTATTTTCACACCAAAGTGTAGACAGTTAAGCGTATTGGTCCCAAACTTCGGGTAATTTGGTACAAAAAAATTCCAGAAGTTATTAAGATACATTTTCAACAGTTTTTAAGAATAATATATGATATAATATATTTAATGTGATAGCAACAGTAAATGAGCTGTTTTCAACATTTCACTTTGCTTTTTTTAATAAATTATTTTTCTTACATTTAAATTTTTTTGGAATTGGTTGATTCGTAAACACAGTTTTAAAGTATAGTATAACCTGACATAGTTGGAGATAGGAGTTGTACAGTCCGTTTGAGCAAGGAGACCAGTGTCCAGTTTTCTAAATTCTCTGTCATTTATCAAAACAAAAGAAATTATAGACATTTGATCAAAGTGGAAAATTCGGGTCCACCCACCTCGTTTTCCCAGGGCACAAGCCAGCTCACTGCCGAGGAAACCCCCACCAACTACAACCACCGATTTAGCCTTTCGTGTTGCTTCGTCCAGATGCTGGAAGTCACTGATCTGTAAATACAAAGATGAGGTAGAGTGGACATCACATCTTCAGTCCATCACCTGCAACTTCTGAGACGTCCACCCTTATTTCTCGTGTTTAATAGAGTGGTCCAGATTAATTTTTCTTTGTTTGTTTGTTGTTTAACGCTGCACTCAGCAGTATTCCAGCTATATGACATCAGTCTGTAAATAATCGAGTCTGGGCCAGACAATCCAGTGATATCATAAGCATTGTTCCATGCAATTGGGGTAAGATACAGGCATATGACGACGTGCATCAACCAAGTCAGCATGACCACCCGATCCCGTTATTGCCTCTTACGACAAGCATAGTCACGTTTTTCGGCAAGCATGGGTTGGTGAAGTCCTATTCTACCCCGGATATTTACGGCTCCAGATTAATACATTTCCAGACTTATGGTTGTGAAGAAATTCTTTTGTAAATATACTCCACAAAAGAAGTTACAGAACACAAATCATTTTCTTTTCTTTTTTTGAGTAGTATATATATACATTATACAGGTGAATGGGTGGTTACATGTAGAATCCGGGAACCTCACTTTGGAGATGATCTTGTTAGTAACACCTATATATAAAAATAATCAACGAGCTACAGGGAATCATCTGTCCCCAGTGTATCAATGGCTGTAATCCCGAGTCTTGTGTCGAGAGACTTACTTAATTCATTCACAAGGGACAGATAATCTGTAATTCTGAGTATCGAGCAGGTCATCTATATATCACTCATTGGCATTTTACGGGAGAAAATGAAGAAAAAAACATGTGAAATGTCAACCCAACAGAGAAACTTCACTAAAGGCAGGCTATTGTTCAGATGATGTAATCTGATCTAATTGTGATGTCCTGAACAATGGATGACGCCATGTGGTATTTTTCTCAACAATGAAGCACATGACTTAAATTGATTACTCAGCATTGAGAATCGCTAAAATGCAAAGTGCAAACATCTTAATAGTTGTTACATGCGATCATTCTACCCTAGAGGAAATTAACAGTCAGGTTCTATCTCTGCAAATGTTTCCAACTCACAGAACGGAACAAGTTTGTCCTCCGATTGACTTCTTTCCCCGCTCTCTCCAACACCGGCAAGTTACGGGGTTTGCCTCCTGAAACAGAGGAGACGAGTGAGTGAGTGTGTCTTATAATTATACATTTATATACTGCACATATCCAGACAACTCAATTGCAGTTAATATTTATTCTCGCACCAGTCGATCCCTACGCGTTTCAGTTATCATTCTCAACTCCCTGGGGAGTATACAACTACTCTACCTGTTGCAATTAGGCACTTGTCAAAGTTGATTTCTGATCCATTGTCCAACCATACTTTCTTCTTTGAAGCATCAAGCTTTGTCACCTGAAATCATTGTCAATATACCTGTAGTGAATTTGGTCTGTCTTCATGTTTATTTCTCTTGGTTTACAGACATGTAATGATGTATTGGAAATATTTGTGTCATTTTCTTGAAACCTTCAAAGATGCTGTCCACTTTTACAAGTATGTATCTTTTAACATTTGCAGTATTGCTGATTTGAAAATATTTGGATTTGGTATACACTGATAATTACAAACAGATCCAAAGCAACAGTGTTGAAGTAATTCTTTGATACGGTGTGCAACAGTGAATTTGGTCGATCTCCATGATCTTAGGCAAGATTGTGTTTCTTGGTTTAACAATTTTTCAGTGAACAATTCTGGTTGACATAAGTGTGAAAAAAGTGCAGTGGCATAGTTTATTTCATCTATTTATCGAAGTCTAGTTTCCACCCTTGCCACATAAATTCCTGTGCAAAATATGATTGGACTATCACACATACAATCCATTCTGAGAACGTTTCATACAATAGTTCTTTCAACAAGTATCTGAAGACAAGTATTTTCTAAGTCTTTCCAAGTTATAAATCAATTTGCCAAAGTAATGTGCTTGTAAGCGGTACGATGATGACAACAGTCATTAAACACGACTGGTACACTTTCGTACGATTTACCTATTCCTGTCTTTGTTGACACAAATTATTTCTTTCAATGTTTTAAACCCCTTAACAATTGTCATCGTTGTCAGTCTGTCTGGGATGAAATCGCAAATGTTTTCATTATCTGATCAACCAGGTGGTCATCTATGGTAGTCACCATCATTGTGAATCTATACGAGATAAGAACAGCGATCTGATTGGATAACGCATTTTCATAAGAAGAAGCAACACAGATCTCCAAGGTATTCTGACAAGAATGTATGCATGAAGGAAGACAGAGGGGCACATGGAGAGAACACTAGAGTGCTGAAGAACATTAGACATTTGTCTAGGACTGGTAAAGTTACCTTCCTCCCTTGTAGAATTGCGACACCACCATTATCTTGGTGTGATAGTTTCTTTGGTTCCACATAGAAGCTGTCTGGTTCGAAGAAGAGGCTGAAGCAGAAAACATATTTTTCTTCACATTGATGTCCAATTCATATTTCTAACAGCCAAACAAATGCCAGGTAACTAGCTGCAAGAAAGAATACAAAAAAGAAAAGAAATTGTTTCTTAGTTTGTCCTCAAAATACTAGAATTTGGTTTAACACCTCCATGAATAGTAGAACAGGTACATGTTTGTTTGTTTGTTTGTTTAACGCCTAACTCAGCATTATTCCAGCTGTATGATGGATGCCTGCAAATAATGAAGTAAGGACCAGACAATCCAGTGAACCACGATCAATGCCGTCATCGTAAGATGACACACAATCAACCAAATCACATATCCTGACCACCCAATCCGTTTAATCACCTCTTATGAGCAAAGGTTGCTGGGAACCTACTCGAACTCATCTTCCTGAGGCAAGGGGGTTAACTGACTATAAAAGTCCAGTTTCCAACCTTGCTGAACTAGGCTGGAATTCTGGACTAATGAGTCTAACGAACTAGACATCCAGTTTGTAAACATGCAAAGGATTTGCAGAATTTGCAAAGCTTGTGTACGGCCAACTGGGCGTCGAGATATATTTTGCAAATCATTTCATGTTTTTAATCAAGGTGATCAAGTGATCTGATGGACTTCGCAAAGAGCCTTTTCTATTACATTATAGATCTTGATTATTGATCAGGTCGTCTTGACTGGGCGACACCATTCTGTTTGAAGGAATTTGATTGGTCAATTTGAGGGACATAGAAGGGACATAACTCATAATAGCCACTGGTGGCGCAACAATCAAACCTGGAAATTCTAGCCTAGTTCAGCAAGGGTGGAAACTGGACATATATAGTCCTTTAAAGCCCTTGCCTCGGGAAGATGATTCTAACCTAGAATCCCCATGGCGTTATAGTTACCATGGCTACACAAAGGGGTGTCAGCATATTATGGAAAAACGTCTGGAGGGATGCCGGTCCTAGATGTTTACTATGCTATTGATAGCCACAAGTGATGGACCAAGCCTACGATCAGATGATCCTGTCACAGCTAATGTATCCAAGAGTCTGTCCTCAGCCAACATACACCAGTGAGTAACCTCATGATCATGGGTACAGAAATGTGCCCAATATCTGTATGAACAAACCTTACTTTTGTAAAACATTCTCGTATTTCATTTTCTAATCCAATTGGGGGGCACGGATGGCCCAGTCGTCTAAGGCGCCGCTGTGCAGAGTTGCGTCCCTTGGGCACGCCAGAAACCTATTATTGTAAGTTCGAATCCCTGTTCGCCCTTATTATGTTTCTAGGTTTGTCAGCACCATACCCGTGCTCGTGGGTTTCATCAAAGTGGTCAACATCTGAGACCTGCATCACTTCGGGCTTTCCTCCCACATTAAGCTGACACACCGTGAAATAACTGGAATACTGTTAAAAGCGGCTTTAACACAACTCACTCACTCACTCTAATCCAATTGTAGAACAAAAAGTAGCAAATTGTGTCAAGAATGTCAGTGCTTTTCATTCTACTGTGACTTGCAACCTTCAAAATCCAGTCTGCTAGCAGGACACTACTACATTGTGCCCAGTAGAGTAAGTGAGTATGGTTTAACGCCGCTTTTAGCAATATTCCAGCAATATCACGGCGGCGGACACCAGAAATGGGCTTCACACATTGTACCCATGTCAGGAATTGAACCCAGGTCTTCGGCGTGATGAGCGAACGCTTTAACCACTAGGCTACCTGACCGCCCCTGTGCCGAGTAGAAGACGACTACAATGATAGAAGTCATTGATACTAGCATTTCAAGGGCTTAATTCTGCATCAGTTCTCAGCGCTTTTACTATTGCTACAAATTGGAACTGAATGACACTGACAGCAGAAAACATTTTAACCTCGATCAAGCAGGACTAGCTACAAACTCTAGTCTGAGATTGAGTGAAATATGGTATATGGAAAATGATTTTCTAACGCTGGACCAGTGTTTAAGATAAATATAAAACCCAACAAGACAGTCAGGCAGGTGCCCCATAAATGTTGCCTGCACATCTTCAAAGTTACCTGTCTGCATTCAGAGACAATAAATATTGAAAAATCATGAAAAACAAGAGACAATCACAATGCAAAACAATTGCTGGAGAATCTATGAGGTATAATATAACTGAATACACAAGTAGTCTTAAAATTATCTGCCAGGCAGTCAGGCAGATGAAGGAAACTTTCATGCAGCCCGACAGAAACGTTACCAGCCACCGGCAGGCGTTATTTTGGACACTGGGCTGGACGTGTGTACAGTCCCTGCATTGTGGAGCTAGGACAGATCGTTATAATGAGGACATCCCCCAGCACGGGTCCTCACCTTCTCTCCTTTCCGTTCCACTGCTTGAATCTCAGCTTCTGCACACCTTCCTTGTCCTCGCTGAACCACATCTCCTTGGACAGCGGCGGACGCATGTAGGGGATGCGATTCTCCTCGCCGATCAGGAGCACCTGCAGCACAATGTTGCCATGGTTACAGTGGAGATTGAGATGGTACAAACATGTTACAGTGAAATTGAAATGATGTTACCTGGTTACTATTAGATGGTGTTAACATGTTACAGTGAGATTGAATGATGTTACCATGGTTACTATGAGATGGTGTTAACATGTTACAGTGAGATTGAGATGGGTTTTGCAATATTCTGAAGAGAGAGTTAGGGTTGTAACTTGTATACTCCCCAAGGAGCTGAGAATAAAAAAATTATTGAACAATGATCCTTTAACCAGGCTGATTTTCATTATCAGCTCCCTTGGGGATATACAACCGATTTGCATGTAGTGAGGTGCTAAAAGGTTAACAGTCACAATACCATCTCATCCTACCAGGTACCCATTCACTGCTGGGCGAGCAGATGCATATTTTGAACAATGTCACTTCCCAAAGGAGGCACCACAAGAACTACATGTTCCTATGTCTGGGGAAGGACTGAAGCCCTTGAAACTCTCAGGAGCCACAAGCGGCCTGAAGATAAGTACTTCTGTCAGATTTTGCACCTAGCATACTGTTACCAAGCTCCTCACAGCAAAAGCCCATTCGCAGAGCTCTCTATACTATCGCTGCCACCAGTCAAAGCTCCTCACTGTGATAGGTGGCTACAACCATGCTTGGAGTTGAACTCGCAAACGACTGGCTGTTATCTACACAAACCAGTGATGTCTGCCATGATGCCAAATATGCTAACCCAAGCTAAATTATTGTTTGTCTGCAATTTGAATTTCTATTTCATTTCAACTATCATGTAATTGGTTCAGTAAGAATGTAGAGGGGAATTCAGTGATTTTCCGTTGCAAAAAATTCAAACAAAAAGATAAATTCATCAGGGAAATCTGGTCAGCTGTAAGCCTTTTCAAAATTCACTATAATTCCCAAAGACTTAACAAAAATGTAACTATGACTACATTTGGGGTTAGAGGGCAAATTTCAATATTCTTGTAATGACCACTTCCACACTGACGGGGGGCGGTCGGGTAGCCTAGTGGTTAAAGTGTTCGCACGTCACGTCGAAGACCTGGGTTTAATTCTCGACATGGGTACTATGTGTGAAGCCCATTTCTGGTGTCCCTCGCCATGATATTGCTGGAATATTGCTAAAAGCGGCGTAAAACCATACCCACTCACTCACTCCACACTGGTGGCAGCGATGTTACCGAGAGTGTAACAAAGGTGTCATGCACTGGGAAGGAGCTTGGTCTGTTACATGCCATTTAAACAAATAACATTAAAAACACTGAACCTGGGCCTTGGGGTCCCTGGACTTGATGGCCCTGAAAGCGCCAAAGGATGCTGTCCCCGCCCCTATAAGGAGGTACTGGGCGTGGCTGGGGATGTCGGGGACCGTGCTCCAGTCAATCCCTGCCGGTGCTGCTTCTGTGGGTGAGGTCACAACATCACATTTAATGTGTTTTTCTGTGTGTCAATGAATGAAAGACCACAAAAACATTGTTTCTCATCAAATAGATTTTAAAATGTCAAGGTGACCAGGCTTTTGGGGGGGGGCTTTTTTTTAACCAAATTTTTTTGTACATGGTGTTGTTTTTTAAATCCAGAGCAAAACAAATATACTTTCAAAATTCAGAAACATCCGACAGTTTTATCGAAATGTTTACAGTTAAGGGCTGAACTTGCTACGAACAACACGATGTCATAAATCTGTTGGTAGGATGAACCGGTCCCCTGTCCAAAGCTCTCCTAATGACAAGCCCGTAAATATTTCCAAAAGAGTTGCACTTTCCAATATATCAACAAGACCAAATGGTCAAATTACTTTGCTCCATTATTCTTATAACACATGTCAACAATAATAACCTCACATACTGCTTACTGTATCATTTACACACAAACAAATGTAGAAAACAGTACGCATCAGTGTTTCAGCACAATAATGCAACACGATCCCCGCCCATTCTAATATCAGAAAACACAAGTCCGCAATCTCATTCAAATCAGATCTTAGTTCTCGTTATTGCTAAACAAAGATCTGAGGACATCCCATTACGGGTCACGTCGGAACGACCTTTCATCAGACCAATGAAAGCATCGCTTACAAGATCATGAAAGTGACACTCGGAATGTTTTTTTTAATCATGCAACCTCGAAAACGTTAACACGGGGTATTCCGAATGACAGTTACGGCCCGTATGACTGATTCCGTCAAAATTATCGTCTGTCTCTCGCTTCCTTGGGATTAACATCTGAACGGAGGAGGCGTTGCACAGTATGTGGGAAGCACTGCCATACAATCGCATCCATAGATTAGATATTGTGGAATGTTCATTTGTTCAGTTTCAAAATTTTAATTGAGAACAGTGTCAACATATTTTTTAAGAGTAGTCTGAAATGGAAGTCGCCAGGTTGAAACGAATGTCGACTTCTTATTTGTCATTTCAGTCAAAGTTCATGAAAGGTCGTTCTGACATGACCCGTAATGGGATGTCCTCAGATCTTTGTTTAGTGGCAGCGAGAACTTAGATCTGATTTTAATGAGATTGCACTAGTCTGTTAGTTCATGTGACCAATATTTTGGGGGTTTATGGAGACTTAAACCAAATAAAAATGCTTGCTTGGTCAATCAAATTCCATGCAATCACTTGCAATATATTTATATTTCCATATATCAGACTTTTTACATGGTACCACACTGGAAACAGACCCCATCAAGCAACACGGCCATAAGTGCTTCAGGATGTTGGCATGCAAAAGTAAGGTCAAGGACGGTCTTCCTGGTTTTCACCCATCACTAATTATTCTCAAGCCTTTGTTGACAACAGTTTCCTAATCTAGTTGCCTCATATAACCAGCATGGAATGCTGCAAAACTATTCAGGTAACAGCTTGACATTTTAAATTATCAGCATTTTCAAACAGAAAAAAGGCATAATGTATTCCTTTTTTTGTGAAAGCATCTTTTTAAACACGTCACTAATGTTTTGAAATAATGTACCTGTCTCTGGTGATTTTTCTGATGTGCCTGATGGTATAACTCCAGCTGCACCATCTGAGCTCTTGCCCTTGCGTAATGGAGGCGTGCTGTGAAGATATACAGCTCCTGACTTCCATAGCTGTAACCATGGTAACACAGCATCCAGGTTATCATAATCATTTGTTGCAATCGTTAATGCTGCAATCACCAATCATGCCAATAGAACAGTTAATGAGTGAGTGAGTGAGGTTTTACGCCACTTTTAGCAATATTCCAGCAATATCACGACGGGGAACCAGTAATGGGCTTCACACATTGTACCCATGTCGGGAATCGAACCCGGGTCTTCGGCGTGACGAGCCAACGCTTTAACCATGGTAACACAGCATCCAGGTTATCATAATCATTTGTTGCAATCGTTAATGCTGCAATCACCAATCATGCCAATAGAACAGTTAATGAGTGAGTGAGTGAGGTTTTACGCCACTTTTAGCAATATTCCAGCAATATCACGACGGGGAACCAGTAATGGGCTTCACTCATTGTACCCATGTCGGGAATCGAACCCGGGTCTTCGGCGTGACGAGCCAACGCTTTAACCACTAGGCTACCCGACCGCCCAGAACAGTTAATGACAATGGTATGTAAATAATCGAATCTGCACCAGACAATCCAGTTATTGACATCATGATCCTCGATCAACACAGTGTTAGAAATTGGCACTAGTCCTGTAATCCTTGCCAAACTGTTGAATAGTTAAGGTATCATAACAAGTAGAAATTTGTTCTTTTCAAAAGTTTAGCTATATGTTATCATTATAAGGACAAGTGGACGGAAACTGTTAGTTTCTGATGCTGCAACACAATTGGGATACGATGACATGCATCAACCAAGTCAGTGAGCTTCACCACCAAATCTTAATACTCGACTTTCACAAACGCATGGTTTGCTGAAGACCAATTCTAACCTAGATCTTTATGGTATGGCATCATGCTGCTTTTCGCAAGATCACCAGAAATGGTCTTTACACATTATGCTCATGTTGGAAATCAAACCGAGGATTTCAGTGCGAGGAGCGAAAATATTAACTAATAGGCTACCCCACTCCCCCTGCATAAGTAAATGACCCATGAAGATCGTAGTTGATCCTCAGCAACCAATGCTTGTTGCAAGAGGCAACTAAAGGGATCGGGTATCCAAATTGCGCAGATCGATGCTCACAACGCCAATCACTGGATTGTCTGGTCCAGACTCGATTATTTACAGACCAATGTCATATAGCTGGAACATTGCTGAGTGCGGCGTTAAACAACAAACAAAACATGAAGCCTGAAGTAAAGCAGGTCTCAGACATTTACCACTTCGGTGAAACCAACGAACACGGGTATGGTGCTGATAAACCTAGAAAGATAATCAGGGCGAAGCGGGATTCGAACCCACAATCATAGGTTTCTGGCATGCCCCAGGGACGCAACTCTGCACAGCGAATAGTGGCACCTTAGACAACAGGTTTGATTCCCCACATGGATACAATGTTTGAAGCCTTTTTCTGGTCTCCCCCGCTGTGATACTGCTGAAATATTGCTAAAAGCGGTATCAAATCTTACTCACTCACTCACTGTCACTGTTCATGTAATTTTTCATAAATTCTCTCACACATTTTCTCTTCATCAGGAGCAACAACAAGCACTTATGATTATTTACCCTACATGTATCCTCAATATCCCCAGGGCTCACATATCAGTAAACCTACACTTATCCCTGGATCCATTCCTGTGCTTCTCAAATTACTCGCCCTTGATTTTCATTTGCCAATTTGATTTGCTATGCTACTCAATCTAACCATGCTAATGCACCAATCAGAATACGAGTTATAAACCAGTCTCATTGTTGGGTTTCCGATATCAAAAACATGACGGCCAGTCCCATTGATTATGATAGAGTTTACAAGAAATTAACCGTTGAAAAACTGACTGACACTCAAAATAAAGCCCTCAAAAATCTTTTTGATCAGTTGATGGTAAGGATGTTCTCATGTCCACCTCTCTTACCCATTTCCTTTTTCCTTATGTCAACATTTCATTGGTCGGTAAACTGTTAATAAAAAACAATAGCCGGTTATTTGAGATAAAAAAAACAAGGAAATGGTCCCAGCAGTTAGTGTAGGTGTACCTGGAGATATCTAGGACGCCCTACATCGAACTTACCACAAAATATGTCAATCCAAGGACAGCAGCACTGGCCCCCAGCATGATGTTCCACTTGGCATTTCGTCGGCTGTACCCCTCCTGCCATGACCCCTCAGGTACAGGGTGATAGGTCATGGTCACTTTGTTTTCTTCTGCAATCTGTGCGTCGCTCTTCCAGTGAGATGGGACATTGCCTCCCATACATCGCACATGTTGCGTCTGAGGCACTAAAAAGTGGATCATACCATAAATATTTCATAAGGTCGTTAAACATGTTCAATTGAAACATTTGCATGAAAGTGATTCTGATGACCAGCCTTTAACATGTTTAAGTTTCAAATGGCTTACTGATCTAAGATGATCTTAGATCAGTAAGCCATTTGAAACTTACTTAGATGACAATTTACGATTAATCAACATGATGAAAGGATTCATATTCTGTATGTGTATGATAAACATGAACAATGAAGACCTGCAATTTTATGCTAAATATCAACTAGGCTGATCCATAACCGTATTTGATGTAATAAGCGCCTCGCTCTAATAAGCGCCCATGGCAAAATTTCTTAATATAATGGCTATTGAACAATCCCAATCAGCACCCCTTCCGATTCATCAATGTACAAAAGACTTATTTATTCGTGTATATTATGCACTCATGTGTTATATGCATCCTTAATTATGGGCAATTAAATTCTAGACAAATATATATGTCGTATAAACATTTCAGGCTGCAGCATTAACCACGAAATTTATCTTTCAACTCTGAATTTATTTTCACCAAAATATTATTCTAATGAGAGACCCCTATTTCTAATTTTGAGAGCGCCCTGGGCACTTATTACGTCGGATGCGGTAAATGTTTAAAATTTAATTCCCCCCCCCCCCTTCTCATTTTCCATCTTAACCATGGTAATCTTAATAAATGTAAACATTTCTATGGCTATGAATTATAAATTTTAGTATCAATATTCATACATTTGTAACTATGCAGTATCGGAATAAAACATTTATCGATATATCATGACATCCCTGCCATCCTACAACAGCAGTTTTGTTGCCTTTCAATGACAAGCTATTCACTGAATTTCGTCAATACCCAATTTCTATCATATTCCAAGCTCGACAGCAAAATGTTTTGCATTATATTCGTTAACAATGGGGACAAAACGTATCTGAAGATGATGGAATGAAAATATATAAATAAGGAGCCAGGAACCATACTTTGAAAACATAAAATCGTTCGTGTTAAAAAAGGGACGTAACTCTAAGAGAAGGTACAACGTTCGGTGCTACCGGGGCACTTGAGACTCAACATTTGCTTTCATTCATATGAACAAAGAAGGGAAATATTTTATGCATATTTTTCATTCTAGATCCAACTGCACTGACTCGGCTAACATTGTTTCTTTCCTTCGGGATTAATGACCTTCAAAGTTTCCAATCACAACATGTGAAGTTGGTTGCCGGTAAATAATTCACGTGCATCTATAATCTATCAAGTGCTGGGATTGTTATGTATGTCGGGCATTAATTAAGAAACTCTTACAAGACTCAGTGATAACTCGTCGCGATAGAACTGCAAACCCTCTTGAAAAAGGGATAGCTCTTCCCTGGACCACGCACCTAAACAGCGCCGCCATATTTGTTGACTTTTCAACCTCTCACGTTAGAGAGTAAAGCTCCACACAGCGTAACAGGTGTGGCAAGCTCCGAAATCGGGTTTCATTCATTCTACTCAAAAGCAGCTTCAACCAATCAGAGAGACGAGTACGTGAACCTCGACCTGCGATACATTACTTAGCTTCCGTTGTCTGTTGTGGGCATGAGACGATTTGGTCTGTGAAAACTTTCACAACACTCGCAGTGTTCATTCTCTTTGTGTGACTCGCAAGATCAAGACCACCGCGTGTCACCAGGAAACACTGTACCGACACCTAACACAAGTTTTTCGGTTTACAACACTTTGTGGACAAGACAAGTGCTGTGTTTCGGAAGCGTCGGAAAATGGCTGCAAACATTGCTACAGCTGGTTCATACAAGAATCCCAAACTCCTCGCCGTCAGAGATGTGGAAATTGATAAGAGTGGAAAATTCAAATACATTCTAATGAAGGTCCACGACCCAGAAAAGGATCGGGAATTCAAGCACATTGTCCGTGGGTACACCAAGGCATGCTACCACGCCGACATTTACGACAAATTCTCCCCAAACATCGAAGCAAGGGGACTGGATTGCGAGTGTGTTGGAGGAGGACGCATCAATCACGAACCCTCCAAGAAGAGCATTCACATATATGGCTACTCACAAGGATATGGGCGAGCGGATCACTCAATCACCCATTCGATTATCCAGCGCAAATTCGGATCGGAATACGAAATAACGTGGTCAAATGATGGATATTAAGACAGAGGCTGTGTTTACTGCCTTCCGACTACCACGATGCTGAAACGACATGGACAGCGACTGAAACATAAGACTAGGGTGATTGTTAAACAACTGTCTGTTGTGAACTGCTTCGCCATTGTGTAAAGGACCACTCGGACATTATTTATTATCCAACTTATAAGTATACAAGTTTGTTTGTTTTATAAGCCATCATATTCATCCCAGTTTATATCATAACCAATTCAGTTTAGGGTCCTTCGTTATTCGGATCTTTCTGTAAAATAAAAAAAACGTTACAGCTTTAATCTTCGTTTTTATGACCATTTGATTAAGTATATTACCTTGGGAATTTTAGCACTGTTGCACGGATTGTTTATGACAGTGCGTAGCTGACTGGAACACCTGGTGTCCTTGGTCTCTGTAGGAAAGTGTTTATCGCAGATTCACTTCACCGAGATAGGATATTTAACTCATCTTACGTTAGATACAGTACAGCCACAAAATGAATGGGATTCTACGCATGTCAGATTTTGGTCAACACGTTGAGAATAATCTAGAATTGATTAAACACAGACCGTTTGGCTGTTCCGAGAAGTCCTCCAACTATCGTATTACAAAGCTGGCATTTACCAGCTTAATAAGAAAATAACCAAGTTAGACAGAAGCACGTTTGATATGAAATACCTTCGTTAACCAAATTTAATACGCTGACTAAAACTAAAAAATCAACAGCGCTATGTTCATCCTTAGAAACATCTTTCATATATGTGAAGTAAGTCTGGATTTATCAAGAAGATCTAAAGGCATAGCGTGTACGTGACTGAAACGGTAAGTACAGACACTCTTACTAACCCTCCCCTCTCCTCCCCCTGTACTATCAGTGGGAGAGATACATCCCCGCGTCACGGAGTACCAAGAGGTAGTGATGCACCTCATGGCTTCTGCTGCTGCTTGGTGATCAGCCTCCCACGGAGAGATGATAAGGCCAGCTGATTTTGTGCTAATCCTTGTTCCCCATATGCTTGAATGGGAGATGTATAGGATACTGATTACGATCTACATCCTATTTCAAAGTAAACACTTTATACATAACAACTTCTTTATTATTCAATAATAGCGACTTTTCGGCGTAGATCCTGTCAAGCAACGGAAAAGGATCTGGACCGAAATTTCGGTATTACAGTATAATAAAGAAGTTATTATTTCCAAAAATCGTCTACTTTGTCATACGTCAACTTCTAAGAAATACTTCTCAAACAATACATCATATTTATCATTACCGTATTAACACCGAGATGTATAATTAATGTAACTTTGTGGTTCGTTTATTCATTTTTTATTTTCTTCCCTTTTTCTTTTTTGAGAAATTATTTTTTGACGTGAAAATAGATTTACAATGAAGCCTAGTTAACTCGAAGTCCCATCGACCTTCGAATGGATGTTGAGTTATCGGTAGTTCTTGACAAGCATTATTTGACTGCAACTGCAGATACGCACTAGGCTTTTCACATATACACATATGGCTCCGTAACAATGATTTCACCACATATGGCTCCATAACCAGATAACAATGATTTCACCACATATGACACCGTAACAATGATTTCACTGGGGACGGTTCTGTTCCAATGGATAGAGCTTCACCTCTGGGGATTTCCTATTACAATAGATCTCCATCACCCTGTCCGCTGTAAGAGGTAAATAATGGATCTGGTAGTCAGGCTCCGAGACGTGGTCGTAAAAGTGTTATCTCAAAATATAAATCACTGTATTGTCTGGTCTCGATTATTTACAGGCTTTTGTCACATAGCTGGATAAGTGCGGCGTTAAACAACAAACAATCAGGCCCCCGGGACTTGTCAACACAACAGAGATAAGCAATCGACAATTTAATATTCTGTCGGGGACTTGTCAGAGACAGTTTTTTCGATCACTGCTTTTTCGCTTAAAGGAAGAGATATTTCCCCCCTCACAAAATCATCAATGTCAGTTTCTGTGTGTTTGGGTGAACTTGGTAATTGCTTTCTTCAGAGCCAAGCGAAATATATATGCGTTTTAGACATTCGTCTCAAGTCTTCTTCCGGGTAGGACTTGTAACACAAGTGATATTTGAGTGTTTGAAGAATGGGAGTTACGATCGTCTTAGCGCTGAGATCGTTTCATGGAACCGGGGCCAGGAGCCTTTTCTATTATTAGTTGGATAATTATTCGAAACAAGTTCCCAAGATACGTTTTATCATGTTTAGGTTAAACTTTCCTAACACTGGCATCCAGAACGTTGGAGCGGTGTGTAGCCTTGAGGCATTCGCCCGTTATTCGGAACATCGGGTTCGATTTCCTGTGGATGGGTACCATGCATTTATGGCAGCCTAATTTGATCTCAACCCATTTCACCCCAGCAAATAAATCATTTATACAAGACCTGTATTCATACAGTTAATGAAAGAAAAAATGTAACCCTTGGATATTGTTAGATTTCAACTGACTGAAATGCCAGTGTGGCGGGGAATGCTTGCTATTTTATCTCGCATATCTTTTTATCTTTTTTATCTTTTATCTTCCCAGAGTAACGTAAGCTCTGGGGTTTGCTTTGGTGAGGAGAGGTGAAAGGGGGCTTAACTTCGCGTTCAAGATTATCGCGCTGATATAGCGATGTGCATGTGTGTGGCAGCTTGTTCTATCCGGTCTGAAGCCAATTTTATAGTACGTACTGATATACCATGCCGCAGTTTAATACGAATACTCCACTTAGGCACAGTACACTGACTCCGAGCTAGTGTAACTACCATCTTTTAACGTCTAATTTGAATCAGGCTTGAAACGACGCTATTGCAACGAGTGAGTATGGCTTTACGCCGCTTTTAGCAATATTCCAACCATTTCACGGCGGATGACATCGGAAATTGGCTTCACTCATCGTACTCATGTGGGGATCGAACCCTGGTCTTCGGCGTGAGGAACGAACGCGTTTAACAACTGGGCTACCCAACGCCCTAAATTGCAACGCATGGGTCCAGGATAATTATCACAATATAGTTTTTTCAATATAGTTCCAAAGATAATTCACGATGGACAAACCCAGAATCAAAACGCACGTCACCAGTTTCCGCCCAAACGCAAATGACTGCAGCCGTGAAGCTAGACGTTTCTGGCTTCTGTGAGATTAAGATATTCATGAATGTCTTATTAACATACCTTAGATGATATAACCTATTTTTCTCAAGTTTTTGAAGCACCGTTATACGTTATTCACAAATATGAAATGAAGAGTCTTCAAAATAACCATGGTTTGGTTTACAAACGAGATTGGGAGTCATACATAGTGAGGAATAGAACCCGTCGATTTGGCGTGAAGAGCCCAAATGTAATGTCAGACTTTTAATAAATGTTGTTTTTTTTGCAGTAGAAAGAATAAATCTGAAGAGCACTATTTTTTATGACTGCCAAAGCACGTATGTTACAAATACTAAATCTGTCTTTGAATGTTTTGCATATATTTCCACATACCGACCCTGAATTTTCACAACATTATCCGTAGATCATCAAATGAAAAGTGTTTGGCCAACGACCGTTTACAATTTTTCGTGTCATTGACAACAGTGATAGTTTGTTATGTAGTCGTGGAACGATGGAGAAAGCGCTTTAGACGTCGCAGTGGAAGCAGTTACAGTAAACTTTGTTTGTTGGTTAACGCGCCACCCAGCAATCTTCCACCTGTATGACAGTCGTCTGTAAATGACCAAGTCGGGACCAGACAATCCATAAATTGACACCACCAGCATCGATCTAGACATCTGGGAGACGATGACAAGCATCAACCAAGTCAGTGAACCTGACCACCCGATCCCATTCGTCGCCTCTTACATCAAGCATGGGTTGTTGGGGACCAATTCTGACCCGGATCTTCACGGAAGTACAGTTATGGGGTTCTGGGTTGGAGTTGGGCCCTAGCACCCTATATGGTAGTCGTCAGAGGCGACTCAATGGGCCGATTGGTCAGGCTCGGTGATTGGTTTGATTCTGTGACGACGAACCCCGACGGTTTGGACCGTTTCTGGATTGTCTGGCCCAGCATATTTACAGGCCGTGATCACATCATGGGGGGGGGGGGGGGGGTCCAGTAAAATTATCTGAGAGGATTTTGATATTTTGGACCCCTCCCTTTCAACAATGCTGGATCCACCCTTGCACATCCCGGGATATTGCTGAGTGCGACCTTACACAAATACAACCCGAATACACTCTACGCAACACGCAACGACAGATAATACGTCTCTTGTGATATCCCATTGCAGACAGAGATTATTCCACACCGAACAAAAAGGTTCATCTCCCCATCTCATTGCTTCCTCTTCGGCGCTTGTATTACGTTCATCACTGTCAGTTTAACAGTAACAGATTGTTTCAGTCACGAGCAGCAGAAACGCGTCTTCATGCTCCACATCTGGCATGGATGTTTTGGGTCTCCCCTGAAAACAGGAACAAAGTCGAAGCCAGTCTGACAACACGATGCATCTTGTTTTATTGTGAGTGAGATAACATATGTTTGGATAG